TAAATTCCAGCCGTAGTTTCTATAAGACCCTTCACAGTTCCAAGTAGATACTTGTCAACAGCAACAAACAGATCAAGATGTTTAGGAGAAGATTTTGATGTTAGAATTGCTAACTAAGCTACAGAAAATGCTTATTTCTTATTAGAACATGTGAATGGTGCAGTTTATAGAATAAAGCCAGCTACACATCCAGATCATTTTGTGTTCTGTTCAAATGACAATGCTAGAAAATTCGGAAATGATTTTGATGTCAGAACTCATCATTATGCGGAGCCAAGAAATAATTGGATTATAGAAAATGTAGGATGGAGTACATTCACAATTAGATCTGAAACAAATCCAAACTTTTACCTTTTCGCAGCAGATGATAATTCAAATGCTCACTAAGGAGAATTAGATGTTAGAACTCATGCTCAATAAGAAGAAAGAAATCTTTGGTTCATAGTTACAGTACCAAATATCGTTCATCCATATCCTCTTTTACATTAACCACCTGTTGTTTCTTTAAGACCAATTCTTTTACAATAACATTTCCTTACTTTTGCAGAACCACATTAATAATTCTAAACTGATTTTGCAGTCAAAGCAAGAGGAGCAAAGACAGATAAGACTTAATTCTTCTTAGATAGAGTTTAAGGAAATGTATTCACAATTAGATCAGCTGCTAGTCCACTCTATTATTTATTCTGTGCTAATGGACAAGCATATAATCAATGGGGTGACTTTGATGCTAGATTCCATACACATAAAGAACCAAGAAATCATTGGATTATTGAACCAGCTGGATAAGGATATTGGACTATTAAATCAGCCACTAATCCTAATCATTTCTTATTTGGACTCTAAGATGAAGGAAATGGACATGAATTCAGTGTTAGAACACATCCATTTGTTGAAGATAGAAATAAATGGATCATAGATGGATTCTAGGGATGATGAGTATTTCATATCAAATATTATATTCAATCATATCTAATATATATATTTCTTTATTATTCAACATCATTTTATTATATCTTTCAAATCATACTATATATATATATGACTTTTCATTTAAGATTTAGATAATTATCATCTCTCTGAACTTTACGATTTTCTTAATTTTTAAGTTTTTAGAATCTACTCATTGTATAATAATATTTTATAATAATAACTTTATTAGATCAAAATAAATAAAAAATTTATGGAACTTGGATCTAACCCTTTAATTGTTTCTTTTAAACCTGTTGCTGCTCCAACTAAATATTTAGCAATCTGCACAAATAAATCTAGAGCTCTTAATGATGATTTTGATGTAAGATGTGTCTAAGAAAGCTCTGTTGACACATATTTTATTATTGAGTAAGTCAAAGATAAAGTTTATCTTATCAAATCTGCTGCTAAACCCAATCATTATTTATTTTGCTCCAATGATGATACAAGAAAATTTAAAGACAATTTTGATGTTAGAACTCATTCATTTTAAGAAGCAAGAAATAATTGGATCATTGAAAATCATGGATGGAGTGTTTTTACAATTAGATCTGAAACTAATCCAGATCAATTTTTATTTGTTGCTTCTGATAAATCAAATAATCATGGTAAGGATTTTGATATACGAACTTAAAATAAAGAAGATTAAAATAATCATTGGTATATTATTACAATTCCTAATTTTACTACACCATATCCTTTAAAATATGATCCTATTGTTGTTAAATTTAGGCCTACTCATTTACCCTAAAGGTAATCATCATAAATTATTTTCTGATGATTTTAATGTGAATGTTCAATAAAATAACAACTTACATTCTAAATTTATATTTGATAGAGTGACTGGAGATGCTTTTGCTATTAGATCATTTTAATTTCCATCATTTTATTTATTTGTCGATAATAAATAAGAATTGAATAAATTTCATGATTATGATGTCACATTTCATCCATTTAAAGAACTTAGAAATATTTGGTTAATAGAAAAGACAGAATCCAATTTATGGACAATAAGATCTCTAACCAATCCTAATCAATTTTTATTTGTAGTTTAAGATGAAGCCTAAAATGATTAAAGTTTTCCAATAAGAACTCACTCCTTTTTAGAAGAAAGAAATAAATGGTTTATTGATGGATTATAATAATATTGAATCATTTACTATTAATTTCAATCAAATTTAGTTATTCTTATTTAAAGATTTTTTCTTTCTCTTTACAATTCTTACAAGCCCTTTGTTTTAAAAATATTCTTAGTCTTGGCAGGGATTATTTTCAGTTTTAATCTATAATTGATATCAAGTTTCTATTGAAATAGCTTTTAATAAATAAATGTTTATAAAAAAAAGAATGAATAGTTCCTTAGATAAAGTAAAATAGACTCTGCAGAATTCTTAGACCCTCTTTAGTCTTGAAAAATATTAGTCCATATTTTGTATTAAGAAAAAATGTTGAATTTTATATGAAAAATGACGTAATTTTCATATATGATTAAATTAATTGCGCAATTTAATTATTTTGTTGTTAGACATTCCTTCTAAAAGATCAAGGATTAATCATAAATTCTAATGATAAGACAAAATGATTAAATGCAAATGATTAATATTTTTTGATTAAAATCATCCATCAAGAATTTTGATCATTAATTAATTTATTTTTCATGTCTCTTCACTATTTAATCACAAACAATAATAAGGGCTTGCAAAAATAGATTGAGTTTAAAAATTTTATTGTGAAAAACTAATCATTAAGAATAAAAAGAGCTTAAAAACCTTTAATTCGGAACAGTAGATAAATTACATTTGGTTCAACAAATGATAAAGAAATTCCCTATTTTAAATTTCCAAGTCTTCCTTAATATGATGTTACTTATTAGTAAGTAGACAAACACTAAAGAATAGCGTCAATTAAATCAGATAGACAATCGCCTAAATAATTTATTTAAGAAAGCACGTCAACACCTATAAATAGAAATGAAACATATAAAAGATAAAGAAAGAGTGTTAATTTAAATGAAATTAAAGTTAGAATTCCAAAGTTGAATTTGCAAATGCCTTTAAATTATTTTGATTTCCAAATTTAATAGCCAATGAGTTTAAAATAAGTGCATCATTTATTTGACGTTTTGAAGTAATATATTATTAATATTTTAGAGAAAAATACTAGATAAAAACATCAAAAGAAATATGATATAACAATCAAGTCATGTTGATGATTTAATTAAATTTTTTTTTTAAGATATTGCTTATTATCTTTAACATCCAAAAATTATTAGTGGAATTTATCTCTTGCTTCAAAACAGTATTTGGCCTTTATTTTTAATCATTAAATAAGTTATTTCAATTTAGAAAGATTTATATTATTTTATAATTAATTAATATATATGAAATCATCATTTTTCGAGAATTGTCGCAATATTTTTTTAATACAATTTATTTGGTTTTGAACGAATTTATTAAAAATCTAAAAAAAAACAAATAAATATATAAGATGTTTTATTTACAATAAAGTATTGGCTTACTTTTATTAATTAGAAAGAATCAATAAGTTATTTAATGTTAAACCATTTTATAATTTTATTTTAAAAAAATCTATTTATATTAAATAAATTAATATTTAATAAGAATTTCAAGAAATAATAGATTTAAAAGAAGATTTGCAGAAAGTTTTATGCCTATAAACAAAAAAAGAGAGCATTTGAAAAGGGGAATATAAGTGACAAAGTTAGTTTCTGGAGAAAAAAGAGTGAGAAGAATTAGAGTTAGGCCAATTATTAATTTAGGGCTTTTCATTTATTTAAAGGGAATTCTCTTGGGTCATTATGGTATAGCAAAAAAAGCAAAAATATCGAGAAAGCATAAAAAAGAGTTGATATAATTAATTTGATGCTGTTCCCTTCTTTGAATGATTGGCGAAAAAATGCAATTTTGAATTGGGAGCCAAAACGAAAGATAAAAAATAACTCTAAAATAAAAAAGGATGAATCAACTGAATAAACTTAGAAATCGAATTCTCTTTAAAAAAAAATCTGTTTTAAAAACAAAAGAAAATATTATGAATTAATTACAAACAAATGTTATAAAAATTAATCACTATAAAGAAATAAAAATTAAAAAATAAAGTTGAACTGAGTCTAAGAATGATAAATTTGAAAAATTAACAATATGTGATATTATAAATCTCACAAATTTTATACATAATCTTTAGAAGAAATGAGTTTTTAACTACTAATTTTTAATTAACATTGTCAAAAATTACTATTTACTCTTTAATTAATCAGAAAAATTTTTTCTTTAGTTTTTCAGATCCAAATAATGCTTAAAAATTACTCATTTTATGTACAGAACTAGCAGTAGTTGTTTTTGGAGATGCTAAATTACCAAACTACTCTGTTTTTACTCTTTCTATTACTTTTTTATTATTTTAATCAGGCATAGTAGTTATTCGATCTGAACTCTATTATGTCTTAGATTAATTAATCAGTAATTTTATTGACTAAAAATGTAAAGTAAAAATTACTTTGAAATCTTAAAGTGAGCTTTATGCCTATTACATAGTTTTTGAATAATTATGACCTAATTTAGAAGTTTAATGCTAAAGTTAGGATGGTTTTGCCACAACTTCGTGTTTTTGTAAATTTTCATTAATTTCGCTTTTTCCTTTTGTTCCAATATTAGGTTTTAAATCTTATGGAGACAATTTTGATTCATTTTAATCTAACAGGGGTGATTGAATCTTTGATTAATTTAACGAAAATGGTTCAGCTAAAAGAGCTTAATTTGTTAACTGATTCAAATCAACTTCATTAGTTCTTCTTGATTTTTCTTATTCTTCCCCACTATCTCTTGAGTAATAGAAATCATCTAATAAATAATTTGCAGTGTCAACATTCTTAAGGAATAATATTAATTAATACTTAAAATTCTTTTTATAAATTAATTTGAAATTATCTTCTAAATTCAGCATCTCCTTTGTTAAATTCTTCCTCATCGAAATTATATTATAAAGGTTAAGGTTTATAAGGAGGTTTAACATTTTTATTTAAAATTGCTTTGAAATCTATATCTTAAAACCATTTATGATGTAAGATTTCAATTATTCCATTCTAATTACCAAGTCTTTCATCTGGATTTTTACACAATAATTATTATATTAAATCCTTCAAAAGAGGAGAAATGTGAATGTAATTTGGAAATTGTATTTATTCAGTTAAAATTGAATTATAAATATCTTAAGTGTTATGTGAATAGAATGGAGGTAATCCTGTTACTAATTCATATAATAATGCTCCTAAACAATAACAATCAACTAAATAATTATGTCCTGTTTTCATTAACATTTCTGGAGCCATATATTCTGGCGATCCGCAAAATGAATAAGCAAAATCATTTGGTGTCATTTCTGGTTTTGATAATCCAAAATCACTTAATAATAAATGACCTTAGAGATCTAATAGAATATTCTCAGGCTTAACATCTCTATACACTATATTTAAAGAATGTAAATAAGACATTCCTAAACATATTTCTGCAAAATATATTTTTGCATCCTACTCACTTAATCTCTTAAGTTTTCTTAAGTGATAAAATAATTCCCCTCCAGCACAATATTCTAAAACAAAAGCAATATAAAATTTTGTTTCAAATGAATAATGTAATGGTGTAATAAATTGATTATTCATTTTAGTCATAATATCTCTTTCATTCTAAACTATAATTTCTTTTGAATTTTCAAATATAAATTTCTTGTCAATAAGTTTCAAAGCATAAAACTTTCCATTATCTTTTTTTCTTACCAGGTAAACTCTTGAGAATCCTCCTACACCTATACATTTTATCAATGAAAAATCTTTCAATCCTACTCTTTTTGTTTATATTGGCTAAGAATAAAAAGGTTATAATTCTAGGGTTAATCCTTTAAAAACCTCCAAAGTCAAATTATTTAACGTAAGATAATAGTCATATGGAATATTTTTTGATACTGTTAAGAATTAATTTATTTTATTCAATTCTAAAAATTATCAATATAATACCTTATTAAATAGAATCTCCATCTGTAGAACCTGTTCCTCCTCCAAGCTTTGTAAATTATTTCTCAATACTACCTATTTATTATATCAGATAATTAAAAAGATCATCAGTAGTTTTATTTTAGTATTTAAATAAATAATGATACCTAAATACTTAAGATTAATTACTTCTATTATTTATAATATAATATAATCTTTAATTATTATTCCTAATCATAATTTAAAGGTTCATCTATATTTTACTATTTTTATGGTATATAAGATGAACATGCTTCAGTCTTAAAATGAATTTAATTGATTGATTTTGTTTCATTCTCTGGTTATTTCTCATGAAATGGTTTTGATATTTATACTTATTTAAATTAGTTTTTATTTTAAAGCATTTACTCTATGGATTATCGATGATATGATGGATCATCAGATAAAATAGACTATTTATTTTATTTTATTTAAGAATTCTTTAAATGATCATCTTAGGAACTTTTCATATTTTTTAACTACATAATATTATTTCAATAGTTATACTATTTGCATATCAAATAAATATTAATCTTTTTTTTTTATTATCGGCGAATTTATTTAATTTTAAGGGGATTGATTGTAAGATTATTTAATGGATTGCGACTATTTAAAAAGTTGATTCTATAAAGAATAAACTCATTAAGCATACTTCTAATGAAATTATAGCAAGAGATAAATTTTTTTATTTGAGTATTTACCTTTTTGTATTATTTCCATCATCAGTTTAAACATTCATATTTCCATTCTAGAATTTTCATCATAATATATACATTTAATTGCCCATTCTTTAAACGTTCGCTTTTCAAACTTTACGTTTATAAATTATCTATGCTTTTGCTTCCTTGTAAAGTATTCTTTACAGAATTTACCATTCGTGTAATTGTATTTCTTTCTTTTTTTAAATAATCTAATAAGTCATTTTTTTTATTTTTAGATTAAGGTCGTTCTGTCTTTGCTGTTTTTAAATTGCTTCGTGAAGATTTAATATCACTGCTTAAAGAAGGTTCTTAAAAGCTATTTCTATTGATAAGTGATTGAATCTACGAACTTATTTTCTTCATTAACGATGGCAATAATAATTTAATTCAAATTATATATTTTATTATTCAGAGAGAAAAATTCAGAATTAAATACTGTAAATTCTATTTTATAAAATATTAGGACTTTTTTATACTTTGATCATAAGTTGTTTCATTCATTTTAAATGTAAGATACTTAAATACATATCAAGACAAATAAATATCATTTAAACTCCCTTTAAAACTCAAACTTTCTATAATAAAATTTTCTACCCTAAGAGTATCATATATAAAAGCAATTTTTTATTAAATTTTTATAATTATTCTAATATCAACTATATATTAATATTGTTCGAAATCCTTTTATTAAGAGAATTCTTATAAAATTTTATTTTACTTAATCTATGATTGTTAAGATTAATAAGAATTTTTCTTAAAAGCTGCTCAAAACGAAATTCTTTTTATCTAAATAAGATAAAATACTTCATAAAATTCTTCTATTCACTATAATAAGAAATTATAAAATGACATTTGCAGAAGAAATTAAATTATTAATAATAAGTCATATATTTTTGTTTTTATGGAAAATATAATTCTTTATAAAATTTTGTATTTTTCTCAAATTCTTAATGATTAAGAATTTATATAGAGTCCTCATTTCTCATTTAAACAATTTTATTAATTTAGTTAAAATTTTTTCTGTAATGCTAGTTTCCAAAAATTCAGATACTGAAAATGAAAATAACATAAACTTATAGACACCAAGACATAACCTATCCTTTGTTGCTATATAGAAGGAAGATTGGAGTTAAATTATAGAAGAAGAATCTATAAATGATTTCAGGTAGAAAGATCTAACATTGGCCTTGTTTTATTCAACCTTTCTTACAATATCAGAGTACTACTATAATAAATATTTAGTCATATAAATTTATTGCACATATTTTCACAATTAAAAGACTTCGAAATGCCAAATCCATAAGAGCCTAGTGCATATTATGCAGAATTGATAGATAGAGATGTTGGAAGAACTTATTAATAGATTCCATATTTTAAAGATAAATCAAACTAAGACTAATTAAGAAAGATCTTGCTTAATTATGCAAATTATGATCCAGATGTTGGTTATGCTTAAGGAATGAACTTCATTGCTGGAACCTTAGTTTACTTTTAACTTCCTGAACCTTAAAAAATATTCAATTAATTAATTTACAACCATAGAAATAACTATCTATCAGGAACTCCAGGTCTGTTTGAAAATTTAGCAAAACTGAAATTTAAATTGAAGACTTCCATTCCTAAATTATTTAAGCATCTTTAAGAAATTGGCCTTAATGATTTGGGCATTTGCTTTAGCCCTTTCTATCTAACCATGATGCTTTAAAATACACCCTTTTAATACTAAATGCTCATCTTAAATATTTATTAATTAATGGGATAAAAATATATTACAAAATTATTAATCGCCATGCTCAAACTTTCTAAAAATACAATAATGAAAATAAAAGATGTAGAAAAAGTTAATCGGTACATAAGAACAGAATTAGTAGTTAGCTTTTTCTAAGAAATCGAAATTTGTAGAAAAGAATAACGACTTATCTAATTACTATTTAATATTGGATTAATAAAGCGTGTTAATCAATATTGATTTTTTTGTTGTTGAAAATATACTTTAATATATAATTTAATTATATTCAAAATTATTATCATTTTATTATATAACAGCATTTAGAATATCTCTTTTCATAAGATTTTTATAAATTAGTTTAATTTACAATGAAAAATTTCACAAAGTATTCAAGAAATAATTTTTGATTATTTATGTATTTATTAATAAATGTTATAAAAGGCTTATAAAAAGAGCCTTGCTGATTAATAAACACCTTAATTTATAAAATTGTCGACTACATTCCAAAATCTTAGAAAATAAACCTTTCAAATACAGATGACTGTTTGCAATTTAATCAAAGAAAGGGGAAATCAATTTTATAAAATGAGTAAGTTCATATATATAAATCAAAAGATGATTTTTAGACTGCTTGTCAAATATATGAAGAACTGTATTAATTTTTTGAATTTAGAGAATGTAAAAATAACACTTAATATTTGATAAAATATAACGGGAAATCTTCAGATGAATTGATTCTTCTAAATTGTAAAAGAATATTCATAATAATAGAACTCAAAATAGCAATTTTAAATAATATATCAGCAACTTATCTCAAACTTTAATTGTTTTAATAAACTGTAGAAATCACTAATTATATATTAAACTATGATCCTAATTCCCCGAAAGCTTTATTTCGAAGAGGAAAAGTAATTTATAAATTTATTGAAAGGCTCTATTATCACTTTCTCCATTGACTAATGAAAATCTTATTGCCTCAATTGATGATCTTAAAAAAGCTTAGCAAATTTAATAAGATGAATTAATTCATATCACATATTAATAAGCAGTTGAAATTATGAATAACAGGTAATTAAATCATATAAATTTAATTGAAAATGCTAATTTAACTTATGAAATTGATTATTCTAAGGAAATCCCTTAAGAAATAAATGAAGTAAAATTATTTACAGAAAAAAAGGGAATGGAAATGCTGAAAGATTTATAAAAATAAGGAAGAATTAAAGAAGCAAATGAATTCCTATAAGAATTGAATCAAATTAAAGAAGCAAAATAATAATTAGAAAAAATAAGCAGACTTAATTTTGATAAACCAAAACCTGTAAATTTTATTATTTTTATATTAGTATCTTTAAGAAACAATTAAAAGATTAGGTGTTAATTCTATTTAGCTATAGTAAGAATTTAAGAAAATTCAATATCAACATCTCTAAGATATTAGGAAAAAATTGAAATAATGGAATAACTGTTATTCAAAAGACCTTAATATAAATAATTAAGGACTTTAGGGAGAATAATAAGAGTATCCATTAGAAAATTAAACTTAAAATGTCTTATTAATTTTAGGAGGACTTTTATTATTTATTTTAATAGGTGTTTTTGCAGCAGGAACATGACAAAAAATATATTATAAGATTTAATTATTCATTTGACAATAAATACAATAATCAAAACTATAACTACAACAATAAGGCCACCAATTATATAATAATATTTTTTCATAGATTGTTTTTAGTTTTAATCCACTGAAACCAATTCATTTGAAACTCCAATAATATTAGTCTTTGCTTAATTTAAATTTTATTGACCAAAATCTAATTCTTAGCCTTATTAATCTACCATATCATCCATTTAATTAGCAATTAAATTTAATTAAAGAGCTTCCTTTTCAATTAAGTCTAATTCATGTTATCTTTCATCAATTAACATATTTTCTAAATCAATCATATCATTTTCAATAAAATCTTCATCAATTGACACTGTTTTAATTCTTTAGCTTTCTTCTGCATGAACTTAAGATAAATTGCTTCTTTCAATATTTTATACTCTTTGATCTTTAGGAACTATTTTCACATAATTTTAATCTACAAAATATTTTAATTATTCTTATTGATTTTCTTATCCATAAGCCTTAGATTATCTAATTACAGAAATTTTAGAAAATTTTTGTTCAAATGAGGAATTTACAAAGCTTTTCATAATCCTTTTTTATCTCTCTACTTCTTTTTAGTATTATTGTTTTAATTTGTTGGCCACATTCTTTTATTCGTTTCCTCTAGCAATTTTTTCAAGCTAAGCTATTAAAACTTTTAATTTTTCTGCTTTTATTTTGAATTGATTTCTAGAAATTTATACATCTTTATATTATCTAAGTAAATTAAGATAATTATACAAAGTAGCAATCTATACAGATTATTATTAGTCATTGAAATCTTTAATTTCTACAACAGAATTTTCTATTTTCTTAATTATTACTAGATCTTAATACCTCCTGAAGAGTTTAGAATTAAGTTTTAATCATCTCAGATTTTTAAAAGAGGTTTTCTTCTAAATCAATCATCCAAATTTAATTATAAAATAATTATAAAAATAAAATGTAGATTGATGAGTATATTTTTGGAAATATTATTAATATCTTTGTTTATTTTAGAAATTTTGATGAATTCTAATTAGTTTTTATGGAAATCACATAGTACGCTATAAAAAGTAATTTAGTAAATTTAAATAGATATTATTTCATAGTATATATGTTTATTAAAGAAAATTTTTAAATTTTTAATAAGTGCTCATGAATCACCATAACTTCATAATATTGTTTAGTTTGATATAAACTGTATTTTGTGAACCAACAAGCTCTGAAAGATGGGGATACGGATTTTTGGCATCTTTTGCTGTAAGTATGATTGGATTTGTTGTTTCTATTTTGATCATAATTTTAAAAAACTTTAGTAAAGGTGAAACAGCAAAATAAGTAATGAAAGTTTTAATTGGATTTGCTGTAGGTTCATTATTAGGTAAAATTAAATTATATCTTTAGGTGATTCGTTTATACATTTAATTCCTCATTCATTTATATCTCATGATCATGGCCATGAAGAAGAGGATCATGATCATGAAGAGGAAGATCATGATCATCATAGATTATTGAATGAAGAGGAAATAATTGAAGAAGAAGAAGAAGATATTTCAAAAGAATTTCTAACATCTATGTTATTAATACTTGGAGTTCTAAGTTTTGTTATAATAGAAAAATGTTTGGTTTTTTTATAGGCTTATTTTATGAATTCAAAAAAAGTTCAACCTGATATTCCTTAATAAGAAACAAATCCTGATAATAAAAATCTTGGTGATTCTCCTGATATAATTGATAAATTAGAAAGAATTTAAGAAATACATTATGATAAAATATCTCAACTTCCAATTTCATAATAATTACTTTCTTTTGAGAGTTGGAAATATAAACCAACTTTAGGGTATTTAAATTTGATTTCTGATTTTCTTCATAATATTATGGATGGTTTAGCATTAGGAGTTATATTTGCAACTGCAAAAGAAGATAATTTTGATAGTACTATAGCAACACTTATAGCAATTATAGTTCATGAATTAGCTTAGGAAATAGGTGATACAAGTATATTACTTGAAAATAAGTTCACTAATTCATAAGCATTATTTTCAAATGGAATAGTTAATTTAAGTGCTCTAATTGGTGCTTTAATAGGATTAGGAGTATCAACAATAGAGAATGAGGCATATGTTTTATCATTTGTAGCAGGTAATTTTATTTATATAAGTTGTGTTGATATGTTACCAATAATTTTAAAAGAAGAAAATGCTAAAATTTCCTTCTTATAATTAATTTCCTTTTCTGCTGCTGTTGCCATAATGTATGGAATAGCTTATTATGAACACTCCAAAGAATGATATAATATATTATAATTTATTTATTTTTAATATAAAATTTATATGAGTAAACTTACGAAGGTAGTGTTTGATAGAAATTATATATTGAAAGGGGATCACTATATTATAGATTTGAACACAAGAAATCTAATAAGTATTAAGAATATTGATCAATATTGTCGTGCTGATAAAATTTAAGAAGTCATTCTTGAATAGAATAGTCTAAATTAAATAGAAGAAGTTTTCAGACAAATGTATATAAATTATCCAATTCTAGGATCTTCCTTAGGGTATTAGAACTTTAATTTAACTAAATCACAATGATAGAAAATTTAGAACTTCCTAATTTAGAATAACTTAATCTAAATACTAATTTTATAAAAGAAGTTCCTCAATTATAATTACCTAGATTAAAAGTATTAAATCTATCATTTAATAAAATAACATATATTGCTGACTAAAATCTCCCTTCTTTAGAGTAACTTAATTTATCTGGAAATTAACTTATTTATCTCCCTAAATTAAATTAATCTCCTCGTCTCAGAATTTTAGATGTTCAAAAAAACAATTTAATATCAATAACAAGGTTAATGGGTACATGTTAATACTTACAGGATCTAAAGGTTGGTTATAATTAGGTTCCTGGAGAATATATAGATGAATTATGTGCAGTTATTTAAACTTTACCAAGTCTTGATAAAATAGATTTTAAAGGAAATCCAGTTGCTTAAATTAATGGTTATGAAATTAGATTATTAAAAGCAAAACCAGGTTTAAAATATATTGATAATATTCATTTAACTGAAAATATCATTTAAAATTTATAGGTTATATTCATTTATATTTTAGAATATGGAAAAAACTAAATCTTTTAATGAATTAGTAGAGTTAACAAAAGAATAATATTATAAATGGATATAAGAAAGAGAAGAAGTGAGGAGAGTCATGTAGAAATAATTAAATTAGCAGAAACTTAAATTGGATTTCTAATTTGAAGATAAAGAAGAAGACAATATTTAAGAAATGAAAGAGTTTTTTGATTTTATTAAAGAAATTGAAGCTAAAAAAAAAAAAGGTGAAAAATTGAATATGGATGATCAAAATATTTAATTATGGAGATAAAGATTATTATAATCTGAAAATTAAAGAATATAAGCTTAATAATTAATTAGATAATAATAAATAAAAAACACTGAATAATAAATCAATAATTATGTATCCACAAAAAGTATGATGGTATTCTGTTTTATTATTTTCTAAGCAAAAATTATTTGAAATTGCAATTAATGAACCTGAAATGTGGAAGGAAATCAAAAGAAAAGAACTTGTTTAAATTCCTTAAGAATAGAGTGATGAACCATCTTCTGGTATGAGATCTATGAATAGTATTGAAACACCTTAAGAATCTGGAAGTAGAAGTGGAAATTACAGTGTAAGAAGTGGAAAGTCAAGATTTTGAATAATTATTTTATATATTAAATGAATTAACCTAAAATTAGTAAGGTTGACATATTGTATTAAAGAAATAACTAAGCTATTCTAGAAATGCCTAAAGATTATAGAAAAGGACATTTTATGATTAGAAAAAATGAAATAAGAATTGAAAAAGAAGAAGTATAGCCACCAAAAAAGAAGTATGATTTTTTTTGCATTTTAGAGATACAGATTTGAATACTCCTAAGGAATATAATTAACTAAGAAAGAAAAATATGTAAAAAGAATTAATTAAATTATAGTCTTATAATTAGAGATGATAGAGAAAAATAACCTTATTAAAGTTAAAAATTTCTGGATGATTTACCTCCTACTTAAAGTTTGATTTTGTTTAAGAATAGAGATAAATATTCACTAAGTTTTGTTTCTCAAAAATCAGAAGTTTATAAATATGTATTATAATAATTAATTTAAGATGTCTGAAGAGTTCTAAAATAAAATATTTAAAGATTTTGATAAAGGGTTAGATGCAAGAAAAAATTAAGAAAATAGAGACAAAGTTGATATTGGAGTTAATAAAGAGATTGCATAATATGGAGATGATTTTTCTGGTTCAGAAGTAGATGAATAATTTTCTAGTAAAAAAAAATAAGTTAAGAGAAAAAAAAACTCAAAAATTTCTCATAAACTTAATTATTAATCTGATGGTGAAAAGCCAAAAAAGAAAGTTAAATAAAATGAATCTGATGATGATGTTTCCTCAGATTCTGTTTAAAATTCAAGTTTTTCTTGATAATGAAAAGCGTAAAATATGTTATATTTCAGAATATTTTATTAAATTATATTAATTAATGACGTTTTATGTTTAATAAATTCTAAATTAAGGTTTTGAAAATGTTTTGGGTATTAATATTTGGGTATTAGATCATAATAAATGAATATTATTTAAAATATACATAATAAATGGATTATATTAGATAAATAGTTTCAGGGAAAAAAAAGAGATTCATTTCAGAGGGTTATAACTTAGATTTAACCTATATTTGTGACAGAATAATTGCAATGGCCTTTCCAGCAGATGGATTTGAAAGCTGTTACAGAAATCCTATTGACAAAGTAATATTTATATAGAATTTTAGGTTGTATAATTTTTAGAAAATAGACATGGTAACAATTACTTAATAATGAATTTATCATCACGTACATATGATTATTCTAAATTTAAAAATTAAGTAAAAAATTATCAGTGGAACAATCATCATGCTCCTTAATTACATTTACTCTTTAATATGTGTAAGTCTATGTAAGAGTTCTTTAATTAGAAATAAGAAAATGTTGTTGTTGTACATTGTTTGGCAGGAAAAGGAAGAACAGGTACATTAATCTGTTGTTATCTTTTATATTGTGGAATGTTTACCACAGTAAATGATGTTCTATAATATTACGAAAAATCAAGATTTAACGATTAAGGTTTGGGTGTTAATTAACCATGTTAAATTCGTTATATTGAATACTTTAATTAATTATTGTAAGGAGAACCCATTTATCCAAGTCTTAAATATTTAAGTTCGATTATTATTGAGGGTGTCCCAAAATTAAATATAGATGATGGTAGTAAATTATCAGCTAAAATTTATCAAAATTAATAGCTTATTAAAGAGATATAAATAATTAAAATTGTTTAAGAAAATTAAACTAATTGTATGATTATCTCTCCTAGTCCAATTGTTGTTCATGGGGATATTTTAATTGAATTTTATAATTCCAATCTTGTTAAAACAAAATTAATTATGAGAATATCATTTAATACTTCTTTTAATTCAACTACATTTCACAAAGATTAAATAGATCCATTTAAAATTAAGAATGATTCAAGAATACCTGATAATTTTTAAATTCATGTTTGTCTATCAGAATATTGCAATCAATGTGATCAAACTACTAATTTCACGTAAAAATGTTCTGATTGCAAATAATCATTAATCCAAGAAAGGCAAAATTGGCACTAAATAAAAGAAGCTATCTAGTTAAATGAAATTATTGTTATTAATCATTCTCCTAAAAATTTCTGATATTAATTTAGACTGTTTATAGAATAGACATTTTTATTTCAATTTCAAAATGTTATTTAACCTTTACTTTTTGTGATAAATATTATATGTCTATTTATAATTTTAGTTAAATTTTTTTATATACTTTTAATTATAAACTAATATGTATAACATAAATTAATATTTAAATTGATTTATTAAAGATTTTAAGCAAACAATATTTCAAAATTAATTTGATAAAAGCTTTTAAAAATACCTTTGATTGTATTTATGGCTCAATATATAGAGAATTATTGTATTTTAAGAAAATTTCTTCTTGTAGTTCTTCCTTAATTAATTAAGAAGGATCAAATTTGTAAATAGTCCATACCAAAAAAATATTGTTGAATTATTTTTTTGGTTTTTAAATAATTTTAATTAAAGAAATAAAAGATATGTAATTACATAAGATAAAATAAACAATTAATATTAAATATTTTCTTGTTATATTTGATAACATTAAAAGTTTAAAATAAGTTTGTAGAAGTTCTTAAACTAGATAATAATTTGTATATAATTATTATAATTTTTAGAATTGAAATATCTACAAACTGAATTAATATAATATTTTTATTTCATTTTTCCCTCATCACTAAACTGTATCTCATACTATTTCTATGGCATTTTTTAACAATGAAATAGAGGACAATTAAAAAACCAAAAGAGACCAATAATGAAGCTATAACATATACAACTCTCATTAAAACATCAAATGGGCATTTAACTTTCCCCTAAAGACCTTTTAATATATCATCACATGTATTATAAAAAAATAGTAAAGTTTTTTTTTCAAATCCTCTAACAATAATGCAGGTTCTTAATTCTGTATCTTGAATTTCAATATTAGTATAATGATTCTTACCTAACCATGGTCCAAATGTCAATGGCTAAGTTTTGCAAGAACCTGATTTATCTAATGATCCACACATTGTTTCTTAAAGTCCATATTTATATTTAAGACCTAAAGTTTAAATAAAGGAATTTTATCCATTTTTCATACCAGTCATATGAGAATCGCTACTAATTATTAATACTTATTTATCTTTATCTTCTTAAATATATGATAATTTTTCAGCTATTAATAATTATTCATATGGAAACTATTCCCAAAATTCTCCATGAAAATTCACTGAAGATATAAAAATAACAGCTTATATCCATTCTGTAATTGCAACTCTATCTAAAATTACTAAAAGCCATTATCTTTATTATTTTCCTAAAACTGATCTTTCATTTCTCTAACTTTCAAATTAATCACCTAAAATTTCCAAATTTTAAAATGTTCTTAAATCAAGAGTTATTAATATTGTTCTCCCTATAATTTGATATCTATATGTTCCAATATTCTGTTCAGTTATTTCATCTAAATCCTTAATTTCTGATGGAAAATTTGTTAATTCTTCATCTTAAAATAAAGGTAGTAAATTATGAAGATTACCATGAGGAACATATTTCCAATATAATAAATTAGCTACTTTTCTGGTAGGACTTCTTCCATCAGCATCATTTTTACCAAAATCATGATCATCAAATTAATATTCAAATGGTACTTATTAATATCTACATAATTCAAGTGTTTTACAAATATCTCTATGTAGCAGAACCAAAAACTTATTTATAAGCGAAATCAAATTCATCAATTGAATCCTTATCTATATCTCTATAATGTAAATCACCTAACATAAAAAAAAATTAAGGATGGGTATTTTAATAAATATCAATAAAAATTTCACTTATTGAAGCAGATCTTGCACAACCTGATGCACTAAAATTAAAAGAATATGCTTAACCAATCAATCCAAAAGTTTTAAATTAAAACATTGGTTAATCTAAATCTATTTTAAATACATAATCTTTTTCTTTATTATATATTGTCATTAAATATTCTGCTGTAATCTTTTCAATACCATAAAACTCAAATACATAGAAATACTAAGTATTAGGTTAAAGATTCTAAATTTAAACTATAATTGGTGATTCAGTCCTTTAACTGATATTAAGTCTGCTCATAATTCATTTTTAAATACTATTAAAAGTTTTCAATGTTATTTAGATTCCAATAAATAATCCTAAAGTTAACAGCTGAATCCTGTCTTGTAAAAACCTTCATGGTAATTGAATCAGATGTTAAATTACCTTTCCAATGAAACAATATTGCATCTTGATATGAGAATGCTGCAATCATCCTGACAAGAAATAAAAAGAACATTTAATACAAATATAATTATATTAATATTGGATGATATATATATATATATTTCAGTTACTATTGATTGTATTTTCTTCTTCTATATAATAAGGATCTGGAGCTTGTTTTTTTCTGAGGAACATATCTTTGGGAAACTCTCTTAAATTTTTACTTTTTCCATTAATAAAACTTTAAACTAATTACTCTTATTATTCTTCTGCTGATTAGATCGAATTATGACATACTTTAGAAATAGATTTTCTTCTATTTCTATCATAAAGTTAATAATTAAAGCCATTTAAATCTTCTTCTTCTTCTTCTTAAGTATTATTACTTAATTCAGAAGATGAATGTGTTGGTTTGGATTCATCTTCCCATTCATATTACTATCTAACTCTTTCTTAATTTTTAACATCTCTTAATATTTTATCACATAATTAATTTCCTTTTTAACATTTACATTTAATTTATAACATTTCAACCGTCTTTTTAACTGCTAAAAGAGAATTTTAATTATCAATTTTCTATTTAGCTAATAACTCTTCCAACCATGCATTTTATTAGACAAGCTTTTAATATTAAATAGTGAATTCTTTTTGCATCATTTTAATCTTACTTTTAAGATCTATCTCCTTCTATTTATATTGATTTAACTAATTTGCTAGAAGTCTATTTGATAAAGTTGTTTCTTTTAATTTTTATTCTAAATGAGATTATTTATTAACTGAAAGTCTAAAAAATCTAACATCTGAATGTCTATGATATTCAATCGCATTTTCAACGAATTTTAAAAAATCATTTTCATTATTCTTATTAACACTATCTCTTTATATAGATTCTTTCATAAAATCACTATCACTTTTTGAGTTATTTAATTTAAAAAACTAATCAAATAGTTTTTCTCCTTCCAATTCCTCTATATCATTTATGGGTGTACCATGTCTATATGAATGTTATTTGTTATCAAGTGTTGATTTAGCTCTTTAATGTTTCATATCTACACTAGGTTTGCGTTTTTGGATTAATGATTCAATATATTATAAATTGTTTCTGTTCATGTCCTCAAATAAACCAAATGACTATTAATCATTTGGAGACTTTTTATGTCTGAGTTCTCTTGAACATATTAAAAAAACATCTTACTTGCATAATTTATTCCTTGTTTTCCTGACAGTTAACTGAGGGACATTTAATTAAATTTTTATTATATAAAACCAAATTTTATTCAAACACTTTAATTATGAAATAATCATAATAATATATTTTGATTATAAATTTTATTTGTACTCTCTAATAATAAATATTTGAGAGCCAAACATTTTTCAAATTAATATTTCTTATTTTATAAGTTATTGATTTAATATTCTAATAAAAAAATACTATTTAAATTTGTATATAAATCCTCTAATAAAATGAAATCAAAATGTTGATTGTTATTAAAGATAGAATTATAAATTTTGTGAAATAATGTTAATAAATTTAATTTTTTTATTATTTCTNATTTACATTTAATTTATAACATTTCAACCGTCTTTTTAACTGCTAAAAGAGAATTTTAATTATCAATTTTCTATTTAGCTAATAACTCTTCCAACCATGCATTTTATTAGACAAGCTTTTAATATTAAATAGTGAATTCTTTTTGCATCATTTTAATCTTACTTTTAAGATCTATCTCCTTCTATTTATATTGATTTAACTAATTTGCTAGAAGTCTATTTGATAAAGTTGTTTCTTTTAATTTTTATTCTAAATGAGATTATTTATTAACTGAAAGTCTAAAAAATCTAACATCTGAATGTCTATGATATTCAATCGCATTTTCAACGAATTTTAAAAAATCATTTTCATTATTCTTATTAACACTATCTCTTTATATAGATTCTTTCATAAAATCACTATCACTTTTTGAGTTATTTAATTTAAAAAACTAATCAAATAGTTTTTCTCCTTCCAATTCCTCTATATCATTTATGGGTGTACCATGTCTATATGAATGTTATTTGTTATCAAGTGTTGATTTAGCTCTTTAATGTTTCATATCTACACTAGGTTTGCGTTTTTGGATTAATGATTCAATATATTATAAATTGTTTCTGTTCATGTCCTCAAATAAACCAAATGACTATTAATCATTTGGAGACTTTTTATGTCTGAGTTCTCTTGAACATATTAAAAAAACATCTTACTTGCATAATTTATTCCTTGTTTTCCTGACAGTTAACTGAGGGACATTTAATTAAATTTTTATTATATAAAACCAAATTTTATTCAAACACTTTAATTATGAAATAATCATAATAATATATTTTGATTATAAATTTTATTTGTACTCTCTAATAATAAATATTTGAGAGCCAAACATTTTTCAAATTAATATTTCTTATTTTATAAGTTATTGATTTAATATTCTAATAAAAAAATACTATTTAAATTTGTATATAAATCCTCTAATAATATTATTTTAGATTAAATATATAGTTTTAATTAATGTATATTTAATACCAATAGTAAAATGAAATCAAAATGTTGATTGTTATTAAAGATAGAATTATAAATTTTGTGAAATAATGTTAATAAATTTAATTTTTTTATTATTTCTTATTTATTAAATGATTCCTAAATTAAGTCGAGAGAACACAATCAGCAATGCAAGTTGTCTTCCTAGACATTTAAATATTTAGGGATTCTAAAAGTTTAACATAAAGTCTAATTCTCCAAGAACTTTATAAGCTTGTTAAGAATTAGGTATAGATCCTATAGTATTGGAACTAAAGTAAGAAAATAAAATTATACAAGAGAAGAATCTGATTTCAAATAAAATGATTTAGATGAGGAAATAATTTAACTTAGATATTAACATTATTTAAACAGAGCACATTGTAAATGATGAATAATAATTAAAATAGAACTGTTCACTGAAATTACTTAAAGAAGGAAAGAGATAATTTAGAGACAAAGATAGAAACAATTAAATAATAATGCATCAATTGAATCTCTAGATAGATCTAAAACAATCAAGTTATAGTAATCATTAGATTAATGGGAGTAATTCTATTCTTAAAATATAAGGGTTCGAAGATAAATAGATTCAATTTATAATAGAACAGTATCCTTTTTACATTAAAAGAGTGAATCTCCAACAAAAGATCAATTCGTAGGAGATGTGTATGATCTTAATTAATTAGAAGGGGGAATTGAAAAAGAGATTGATAGATACAATAAACAAAAAAAATAAAAAATTGTAAATACTTTTATATATATTTCTAAATCTAGAGAGAAGCTTAACTTAAGTTGAAAGAGGATGCAAAAAGATTATAATTAATAGAAAAATGGAAACAAAAAGATTCATAAATTTTAGATTAAATACTTCAAAAACAATATGCTATTAAATAAAAAATAAAGGGTAGTGGAAGAAAAACTCCATTGTAAAAAATTCCATAATTTACAGATCCTAAATCATTTAAAAGAGATAGTGATATTAAAATCGACAAGTAAAATTATTAAATTTAATTTAAGAGGAGATACATCATTGTAAAAAACAATGTATAGAACTAGAATAGATGATTCCAAAATTAAATAAAGAAGAGAAATGGTTATACAAAGAAAAGAAGAACTTGAAAAACTTGAGGATATTGAATTACAAAAAGATTTAGAGAAATTACAATTAAAATTAAATTAAAGTGAAAAAATATCAAAACAATAAGCATAAATTAAAGTAGAAAGAATTAAGGAACAATATTTAAGAGAATAATAATTAATTTAATAATAAAAAGAAATCAATGTTATTTAATCTCAAGAACATTTAAGTGCAATGATTAGTAAAATGATTAATAAAGAATAAGAATTTAGAGGACAACTTTAATCTTAATTGATATAAGATTTAGAAAAAAAATAACAAATTAAAGAAAAATAAAAAAAAATTAAATAGAATCAAAAAGATCTCTATAAAGATCATGAGTAATTACTTTTATTATCCTAGCAAAAAATTAAAATAATTAAATGATAAATTCATAAAAATTGAAGAATAAAATAAATTAAGAAGATAAGAATTAGAACATAAAATACTATTGAAATAAGAACTAAGAAGATTGAAAGAATAAGATAAATTAGATAATTATGAAAGATAGAAAAGATAAAATGATTATAAAATGATGACTCTTTATATGAAATCTAAATTTATTGAAGAAAAAAATTAACTAAAATAATATCAAAATGTATTAATTGAAATATAAAATCTAGGAAGTTATTTAAAAAACTTCTATGGAAATAAACAAATAAGAAATTTAAGAACGCTAAAGAATTTATTCATAACTTCAAGAATTAAGTGATAATTTATTGAACTATAAAGTAATCATTAAATTTAATATCTTTAGAGTGTTTCATAACATGAATCAAGATAGAAATAAGATTAAGCTAAATATAAAAGTGTTAAGTATTTATTCTATTTAATTAATTCATAGATTGCTTAAAAGGTTTGCTAAGTTAGAGGATCCTAATATTGAAGAAAATACAAAATTATTATTAAACATGCTTTAACCTAAACCTGTAGAAAATATCAATTCTAATAGAAAATTAAGTGTTCACAAAAAATGACAATAACTTATTTTAGTAATTTATTTTGAATTTTTTAATTAAAAAAATAATTAATCAAAGTCTATCTGATGATTGTTTTAATCATTTATTTTTGAAAAGGAAACTTTTTTTAACGAATAAAATTTATTATAAAAATACTTTACATGTTCTTTGTTATCTGTACATTTGAATAATAAATGGATACTATTTTTGGTTGAATAATGGAGGCATGATAAATAAATAAATCTATTATTATAATAATAAAGAAATTGTAGTTTTTGGTTATTTTCTAATTTAAATTAAAATCTTAATAAGCTCAAATATGAATAATTATATAAAAATAAAGAATTATAATTTATAAAAAAGGGATATTTAAACAATAATTTATGATAGAAGTTTATATTTAATAAATTTATTTTAAAAATAGAAGATAATTAAAACTTATCTTAGATAAAGCAGCTGAGATTGATTTTGTTCTTAGAAAAACTTTAGAGAATTACTATTATTTATTTTAGAAAGCAGAAACTTTAGGTATCCCTTAATTATATAGTTAGTTGATCTTTAGAATTACAAAATAGCTTTGATTTGAAGAGTTGTTAAAGAGAGAAAAAGTAATTCGAAACATTTGCATAATTAATTGATACTAATGATTGTTTTTTTTAGAAAATGAAATTAATAAAAATGACTATAGAAAAAATAATATGATGATTGATTTTACTAACAATAAAGATTACTGGAGCAACAATGATTATATATTCCATTCCTTGCCCTCCAAGTATATTTTCAAAATCTTATGAGTTATTGCAAGTAATTTTAAACTACACTTTTAAAATATATTTTATTTCCTTTATACATGCTTTTTATTTTCTATTTCAATATTAAATTAATAATTAAGTTTTGTGAGAATCTAAAATTCCTTTCAATTTATAATTTTATTTAATAAACTTCAAGATTGATTAATCTTGAATATCATACATTTAATATTATTAAATGAATATGTAAATTTGTAAATCTAAAATCTGAGATAAAATAAAGTGTGTAGTTAAATTATCGTTTAAATTAATAGATATATTATAATCTTAACACTATTTATAAAAAATTTGTATCTTTTGAACAAATAGAGATTATAAATTGTTCTAAAATTCAACGTAAATTTTATGAAATAAATAATCATACATAATAATTTTTTTATCTTTTTCTAATAATTATCAATTTAAAAGTAGGAACTTACCTTTGAATATTTAAAGTTAAATTGGTATTTTTCTAAAATTAAAGACTGAACAATTATTAGGATATGTAAAAATTGAATTATATATCCAAATGGTTTGTTAAGATGTAGTGCTTTATGACATTTGGTAGATAATATAATATGAAAAATAGAAATTGGTTACAAAAATAGATTCAAAAAAATTGAAAATAATTTTAGAGTTTCTTTGTTTAAATATTAAATATTAGATTAAATAGAAAAAATAGATTCTTTATTAGATTGTATAATATATAAATTTATAAATTAATGAAAAAAATAAGTTCAATAGGTAATTAAAGTTCATATAAAGAATTAAGATGATTATCCTCCTTTTGAATTTAATGGGAAAAGAATACCAATGACTGCTTTAATATGTAATGAACCTTAATTGTAAAAAGAGAAGAAATAAAATTATAATTTAATGATGTGCTCTAATAAATGTAGGATAAATAGATCAAAATCTACTCATCCTTCTTTGAGAGAATTGTAAACTGATACATTTACAATTACTTTAACAGAAAGGACATTGCCTGCAAAAAAGATTTCAATTTTACTTCCATTAAAAAATGCAGTTGAAAAAATAATAAGATCCAAAAATAGAGAAATCTTTACTAGAAGGAAATCTTGTTATGGTATTATTTTTGGAATAAATTAACAAAAATAAATGATAAATTTTCCTACTTCAATAGAAATGCATAAGAAAATTAATGGTAAAGAATTTGCTCTCTCAAGCTTTGCTGATTTATTAAAAAAAAATTAAAGAAAGACAACAAAGCGTCCTAGTATAGCTCGTAAACTCTCGAAATAAATGTCATTAATTGGTAATTTTAATAATGATATTTTCAAGAATATGATAATATGGAAAGACCACCATCTTGTAAAACACCAAGAGAAACAAAGGTTACTTTATTTAAAAAGAAGAATTCGACAACATTAATTAAAGATAAATACATTTAAGGATAAAAACTAAAATTGTTTCATTTTATGAATGATTCTAAATCTAGAAAAATATAATTAAGTTCAATACCTTTTAGAAATTCAATTAAACCTAGAGGAGAAACTATGAAATTAAAAACTTGTATTACAGAATTATAAAGTACATAGAGAAGTCCAACATTAAGCTATAGAACTACTACTTATTCTAGACCTTATTAAAAGTAGAATGAATTACTTTCAAAAATAATAAAAACTGAACATAAAAATAGAACTTATTGTTATCCTAAATCCACTATTAATGCATTCGGTTATTGATTTATATGAAAATTTTCCTATTAATTTACAGTTAAAATTTAAAATAAATAATAACATGTAGGACTACAGAGGTAATTTCAAAAGAATTGAATTTGGTGTACAATAGACTCCAGCTAAATCTACAACTAATATGAATGATTTTTAATCTTCTTAAAAGTTAAAATATGAGCAAATAAGCAATAAACTTTAATCAGTCAATGTTAGTATTGTTAATGCTCCTGTTACAATGGTATCAAAAGAGTTATTTACATTACAAATACCAGTAAAAGTTAAATAATTAACGGATGATTGGAATACATAATTAACATTGAAAATGATAATGTAATCAAGTTAATAAGTCCATGGATAAACATTAAGAATTGAATTAACAGATGATACAAACTTTTCTTTTTTATAAATATTAGATTTAAATGAAGGAGAGTTTTTAGCATTAAAAAATGAATAAAGTTTACATGTAGACTTTGCTACATTTCCAATGAAATTAGCAGATTTATTATAATTATGTATTAATAGTTAAAAAGATGAAAAAGTCAAGTATAATTTTATCAAAATATTTTAGTTTCTATATTTGTTTGGAAACTAAGAATGGAGAATCTACACTTGCAGTAATTGAAAATAATGAATTTAAGAAATTAACTCATTTATCATTGAGATTAAGAAGTGCAACTGATGATATTCTAAAATACTTCTTAGCAAATAAATTAGCTATTGAGAAATAAGAAAATGAAGAATTACATAAAAAAACAAAAAAATTAACAGAATAATTAGAAGATAAATAATGGGAATTAGAAAATTTAAAATCTGAAGTAAGAAAATTGACAGAAGATAATAATGCTGTTCTTTAGTAAATTTAATTAGATGAAAAAAAGAAATTTAATGATTTTAGAGAATAAGTCTTAAGCAAGGAGACAAATTTTAAAAGAGAAAGTGAAAATGAAAAATAATTTATAATTGAAAAATACGAAAAAATTGTCTTTGAATTATAAAATAAATACACTTAATTGCAATAAACCAATTAAGAATTATTAGAATAAAAAATGTAATTTATTCAATTGGAAAAAGAATTAAAAAATAAATTTGCAATTACCTAATAAGAATCTTAATAATTATAGAAAGAGAATTAAGAGTTCAGAATTTAGAATAAAGAATTGGATACACTTAAATTTACTTAAGAAAGATAAATAATAGAGCTTAGAATTTAAAAGGAAGGATTAGAAAAATTGTTACATGACAAGGAAGATTTTTTAAATAATAAATAATAATTAGTAGACAATGAAAAAAAGTAGAATGTAATATTAATTTCAATAATAAGGTTATTTTAGAGGAACAAGTAAATAGTTAAAAAAAATAAATAGAGAGACTTGAATAAAGAATTGCAGTAATGAGTGATGAAGTTAATAAGGGAAATCAAATTATTGAAAAATTAGAAAATGAATTAAGTAAACAAAAAGAAAAAAATAAGTTAAAAAATACTGTTGTTCTTTAATAAGAATAAACTGTATAATAATTATAAGATTCAAATGATTTAAGCAATAAATAAATAAATGAATGTAATATATTGATTTATATATGTTAGTGAGGAGAGAAAAAGACAGTTTAGAATTAAGATTAAAAGATTAAGAAAATACAAATTTAGATTTAAAAAATAAATTATCAGAAAGTTAAAAATTGTTGGAATCAAATAATTAGATGATACAATATTTAAATAAATGCTTGAATGAAACTAAAGTTTAAGCTCCAGCTTAAATGCCAGGTTTTTCAACATTAAAAAGTCAAACATTTACAAAATTTACATCTCCAATACCATTATAAGAAGATGTATGAATTTATTTTTATGTTAAATAGAGAAGCTTTAGAAATTAAAGTGTCACTTACTAATAGAATCAAAATAATGTATCTTAGATATCGAATGCGACAATTCAAAATAAATTTAATTTCTGAAGATTATTTTACAATAACCTAAATTAATGAAAAGAAACTTCTTATACTTATATATTATTATATATTTAAATTCTAATTCTAATTCCTCTAAATTTAAACCCTAATTTCGATATATAATAATTAAACTTCTAGTTAATTTATATAATGGATTAGAGAACCTTCAAAGTACTAAAAGTAAAATTAACTGATTATGAAATTCTTTAAACTTTTGGAACAGATTCATTTTGGAGAGTTAGATTAGCAAAACATAAATAGAATGGTGAATATGTAGCTCTAAAAATGCTGAAAAAAGAAGACTTAAGTAAGTTGATCACATAATATCGGAGAATACAATCCTTTCTAATATTAATCATCCATTTTTAGTATGACTTTTTTATTATTTAGATAACAATGCTTGGTATTTTTTCAAGATGATAGATTACCTATATTTTCTTTTAGAATATGTATAGGGAGAAGAACTATTTACTATTTACGTATCTTAGAAATAAAGGTAAACTTGAAAATAAAGAAGCAAAGTAAAACGTATAAATTAATTAGATTTTATGCATCTTAAGTTGTTTTAATTATTGAATATCTGCACGTAAAAAACATTGTATATAGAGATCTTAAACATGAAAATCTTCTAATCAGTGCTGATGGGTATCTAAAATTAATTGATTTTGGATTTGCTGTATTTATTGATTTTAGAACTTATACACTTTTTGGAACTCCAGAATACTTAGCACCTAAAATCTTATTAAATAAAGGTTTAAATAGTAATTTATTATTAAACGACATGGTAAACCAGTAGATCGGTGGTGTTTAGGAATCTTAATTTATGAAATGTTATGAGGAATTGCTCCATTTAATGATGAAGATCCTATTGCAATTTATTAAAAAATATTAAAAGGAAAACTTAAATTTCCTAGAAACTTTGACAAGTAAATTTTATAGACTAAATAAATTTTAGAGAAGCTAAAAGTTCGGTTAAACATCTTTTAGTAGATAGTTTTTACTTTAAAAAAATCACAGCCAAAATACAAACCTATTGTAAAGTAAATATTAACATAATATTCTAAAAGAAATAAAGGTGACACTTCAAATTATTCAACTTATCTTGATAGTAGAGAATTACCTAAACCAGTTAAACAAAATGATGATCCATTTAGTGAAAGTTCATTCTTATATTAAAATTAAATACTCTTTTCCTTTTATATATTTATAATTTATTTATTCTATATCTTTGAAAATTTCAAGATTCAAAATTAAATTATATATTAAATAATGTAAATTTATAAGATGTATTTAAGTAGAATTTTACTTAAAGTAATATTTATAATTCAAAATTATTAATTTTATTACTATTTTTCTCTATTTAAACATCCTAAAGCTTAGAATACTCTATCCATGAATCCAAGATCACTATTAGTATGTCTCTATGATCCTATTTCTCTTTATTATTAAGCAATCTATTGCCTTTGAGAAACACGACTAACTCTTGCTTTCAATTCATCATCTTAAGAATACTAAAAAAATAAATGATTTTTAATACAGTTGATATAGATGTTGATGTTCCATTATTTGGTTAATTTAAAACTTTGTTATTTTAAATAACAGAAATTTTTTATTAAATAGAAAATGTATGCTATATTGAAGGATTATTTAATTCATGTGATGAATTATGTTAAGGTAAAACGAAATTTCTATTAGACTGATAAATTTATAATACCTTGTTTTTAATTATTCTTAAACTGGAGATAAAGATCTATTTTCAACTTTTTCTTCTTTATTAAGATATTAATTCAAATCAATTCCATAAATTTAATAATTTCTTTTCATAAATGAATGTTCGAATATTTAAATTAAAGATAATCTTTCTTCTGGATTAGTTTTAAGAATATTGCATATAAGATCTTTAACTTCAAAAGAACAACTTGAATTAAATTCAATTGTTTATAAATTGATTATATTCTATCCTTTTTCTTAATTAGTTTTTCCTTTAAAAGGTGCAAATCCATGAATTAATTCATATAACAAAATTCCAAGACACCAAATATCTAATTTAAAATCATAAGGTTAATTTAGTAACATTTCAGGAGCCATATAATCTAAGGTACCACAAAAAGTTGTTCTTTTTATTTATTAATTTGCTTCAGCAGACCATCCAAAATCACACACTTTAATATTACCTTATTTATCCAACAACAAATTTTCTGGTTTTAAATCTCTATGTAAAATATTTTTTTTATGTAGATATTCAATTCCTAAACAAGTTTAAAAGAAATAAACAAATGCTTCTTTTTCTGGTAATCTTTTTCTTCTTCTGATATATAAAAATAAACTTCCATTTTCTGCTAATTCTAAAATCAAATAAACATTTTCTTTATCTTCAAAATAATGATATAATCTAACTATATGTGGATGAGCTAATCTTCTTTAAATTTTAATTTCTCTTTTCAAGTTTTCTGTTGACCAATACTCAAATATTCTTTTTTTATTTAACTATTATTAAGATCACATTAAGTTACAATTTTCATAGCATAGAACTATCCATTTTAACGATCTTTTACTAGCTTGACTTAACCATAACTGCCTCTTCCTAATTCAGATTTCCCATCTTTAACTATAATTTCGAAATCATCAATATTTTTGCCAACCGATTTGTGTGTAGATTAAGTATCATTTACTTCAGATTATCTAATTTATTTTCCTTTACAATTTAATTTATGTGATATAGTCCTACAAATTAACAACATTTCATACCAATCAAGATCTTTACATCTTTATGAACAATACCTTACTTATAAACATAATTGACATGCAATAACACCATCAGATTAGGCTTTATTTGCCAAACCACAATATTTATAAGAACAAAGCATAAATTTTAATATTATTTATAAATGAACTTTAAAATAACGCCTAAACATAAACCTCATTTAAAGAGACTACTCTATCCTAATTAAGCTAATTTAGATTAACTTTATTAAGGGGATTGGATATGATTAGATTTGTTAATTCCCAGTTATCTTAAAATATATGGATTCTAAATTTAATTTGGATTTGGATTTGTTAATGGATTATAAACCTAAGACTAAGATAAACTTAAATTCTCAATTTATTTATCTTATTAATTATAACCATTACCCTAAGTTAATAACATTTAATTTTACCAAATTTGTTAATTAATCATAATATTATGATTAGAATTCTCTTTTTTTTCTTTTCTCTTTTTATTATTCATCATTAAAACTTTCAGCTGCTCTTCGAATTTCTTATTTATTCTAAGCAGCCTATAAATCATAATCTTTTTTTCTTTATTCCTTTTCTTTTAATTATAAAGATAATGTATTTAAATATTGATCTTTTATATTTCTGTCATGTTATCTTTTACTTTTTATTTCCTCTTGTTCTCTATCCATCTTTTCTTTAACTTATTTATTTATTATATAATCTAAAGAAGATTTTGGATCATCAACATTTTTTCTATAAATGTCTTATAAATGTTCATTCCTTTCAGCTAATCTTTAATAATACTAATCATTATACAAACATAAAATATACTTTTTTATAATCTTCCTCTTGTTAAATTATCCTTTGTTAATCTTTTATTGCATATTCTTAAAATAATACTCTCTCTTAATCTTTATTCAATCTTTCCTTCTGCTTCTTTTCTTCTACAAGTTTCATTTATTCATCATAAATTTATCTTTACAATAGTTTTTTTTACAATTAATTTTATCTTTCTTCTTATAAAGCTTTCTAAGCACTATCAATAATTTAATTTTCAATATTTAAGTCTTCATTTCTCTAAAAATCTAGATATCATAATATTACCTTTTAATTAAGAATCGAATTTCTTTAATCTATTATTTCAGAATATTTTTTTGATAAAGATTCTTTTGTTTAAAGTTTTTTTTACTTTTGTTAATCTGCTAATTCCTTATTCAACATTTATATTCTCTAAATTTCATCATTATCTTCTTTTTATTTTAATTCGTAATTTCTTCTTTTCATCTCTTCTTGTATATATCTCTATTCTTCTAAAGATGTCTTCATAACTTCTTATTTCATCTACTTTATTTAAAACTATTCTTATTTCATTGTTTTATGAATGTTGTATTATTAAAAATCATCATAGTTTTATTTTGATAATAACATTTATTAATGAAGTAAAAATTGTGTTATAAAATTAATATATGAAATTCAGTTTAACAAAGTAATTTGACGAAGTACATATTTTTAGATTAGTTAGAATGAATATGTACCATTTAAGAGATAAATAGAGAAATTATAAATTAAACCAGATAGCTATGTTTAATTTTGTAATTTTGATTGGATTGCTATTTAAAAAGATTCTGATTTAACACTCTACAGAGATGGATTATAAGATGTATTTCTTTATTATTAATTTAGGCTAATGAAATTGATCTCACTTAATTATTTGGCAAAACATAATGCGGCAAAGTGTAAGTTTACTTTTTCAAATTTGCAAATGAATAATTTGATCAAAAACAAATGATTTTAATTGGAAATAGTAATATTTGCTTATTTTATTTTAGATATCATTATTGGCTATGACATTTTAGAATAACCAAAAACTTGTAAAATTTAAATGAATGATGATTACAGATTTAAAAGAAAATTATTATTTTCTCAGGTAGAAATACTTGAATAAGACTCTAACTTATACATATTGACAGATCATTTCGATCTAATTACATTAAATTTAGCAAACAAGGATAATCGATTCAATTACTAACCTTTATTTAAAAAAGGAAATTTTATCACGAATTTGTTATTTTAAAATAATTTAGATTTCTATATTTAAGGGGCTAATTATAAATTTTCAGTCTTCGAAGACACTCTCCTTATTGTACAATAAACAACACCAAATTCAATAAAATCATATTAATGTAGTCTAAATCCTTTTAATTTAATTGTAATTTTTATTTCAATTTTATAGTCTTAATCATAAAGAAATTTTGTTTGCGATGTTACTAATACAAATTGTTAAGTTGGGATTAACAATTTTCATATATAAAGGACTTCAAAAGGATTTAATTTGATTTCTTTTGCTATCATAGAAAATAAGGATTAATAAGATAGACCTAGTTAAATTAAATTGATTACAAAAGAAATAGAAATTATAGATTAAAAGTCTGATTTTTCTAATTTTGATAAATTAACATATGCTGATTTAAATGAGTTGAAACTACAAGGAAATTAATTAAAGTCATTCTTCTTTGAAAATGATTAAGATTTGGTAGTATTATACTCAGTCTTTGATACAAATTATTATCATAGCAATTTATCTTCTTCTCTTAAAGAACATTAAATTTTCAACGGAATTCTTTAAGGAGTAGGAATCTCATTGAATAATAATTTATCCTAATTGAAAGTGTGTTCAAATGGAAAAATATATGTAATTGGTGAAAAATACCAAGAAAGTTAATAATAATAGTACAATTATAATATAATCATTTTTAGGATTACTCATTTCTAAGGTAGATTAACAAATGAAATTATTTTTAATTTATTAACAGAAGGTTTTAAGCATTTTTGTTCTCATTCAAATACTAATTCATAATTCTTAAAATTAGAGTTTTAGGCATTTTAAGAATAAATTATTTGCCAAGTGATAAATTAAATAGTTTGGGATTTCATGGAAAATCCAATTTCAAAATATTTAAATGTTTAGACTTAATTATAGGATAAAAAAAGAATATTAGAAAAATGGATGTAATATACAAAAACAATTGTTAAGAATCAATAAATTATTTTGAATATAATCAGATGTTAAATTTGTTTAGAAATTGGAGAATATATTTATTAAAATGAAGATAATTTGCAGTAATTAATAAAAAATTGTTTAAATAAATGGCAATTATTCTCATAATTTGAATTTTAATTTTATTCGAAATTAGAAGATCTAGAAACAATAATCGAAGAACTTTTATAACTTTAAACAAAGGAAAAAGAATAATAATTGTTTGATATTTTAAAAATTATTTACTCAAACATTTATGATGCAAAAAGAATTCATAATATTAAATTTCCTAAATTTTGGACTAATGAACCTTAATGGTTACAATTAATTATATTAGCTTTATCTAGATTGAAAACTTAAAATCTCTTTTCTTTATTTGAGTTTCTCATAAAAGATATATCAACATAATTTTAGATTGAAAGAAAGATATCTCCATTATAATTTAAGCTAATTTAAGAATTCTCTGATTCAATACAAGAGGAATAATTTTAAGATATATTAATTCAAAACAGATTATACGATATTTTGTTTTAATTTTATTTATAGACTAATTTAAAATTAACCAAAGTGTTTGATCTGATATCTTAAGATAAAGTTTAATGTTAAAATTTTGTAGATTTGTGTTTTGAACAAGAGATCAAGAATTAAAACGAGGTTTAAATTTAAGGTGATTAAAAGAGATTATTCTAAATATTAGACCATATAGAAGAAAATAGTATTATTTTAAAATAATTTTTAGATTGTGTTGATTAAGTTTTATAATGCATAACGAAATATCCTAAACTTTATAATATTCTTTTAATCAGATCAATGAGATTAGAAGAAGTTAGAAATACAACATAAGTATTGTAAGGAAATGAGCCAAATGCTAAATACTATAATTTTCTAGTAGATACAGGGTTCCATATAGTTGAAAGATAACAATAATAAATAGACATTGAATTTTGATATTTTTTTTAAAGTCATAAAATTATATTATATTAATTTAGTTTTAATTTGATAGGATATGATTGTAAATGAAATTAAAATTGTATATATGAATTAATTACATATATTTCATTTCTTATTTAATTTAAAAACATTTTGAAAATAATTAGGAAATGATTTATAAAATTATTATATTAATAATGAAGTTCTTAGATATTATATTCATTAATTCAATAAATTGTTGTTTATTTCATGATGCTTAAAAATTCATCAATGTTTATTTATCCATCTCCATCTTTATCAAATTCATCAATCATAGCTTGTAATTCTTAATCACTTAAAGTTTCACCTAATTCCTTAGATACTTTCTTTAATTTTCTTAATGTGATTTTTCCTGAATTATCATCATCAAATAATTTAAATGCTCTAAAAATTTCATCTTATGGATCTCTTTCACAATATTTTCTAGTCACTAAAATTTGAATTATTGATCTTACTTAATTCAATATAATCACTATATTCAATACGACCAGTCTCATCTCTATCATATTCTTTCATTAATGCTTAAACTTCTTATTTTTTAACTTCAAAACCTAGAGCTCTGAGAATAACTTTAATCTCATGACAATCGATAGCTCCAGAACGATCAGTATCAAATAAATCAAAGGCCTCTTTAATTTCTTATTTTTAATCATCATTCAATTCACTTTTGACTTTCTTTTTTTAAGGTGCTTAAGTTTTTTGTTATTATTTTTTAAATGAAGCCATGGTTTATAAATTTAACTATATAATTTAAAAAATAAATGATTAATTAGAGTATTAGTGTTTATATAGTCTGAATAAATAACTAACTGTCAATCAAAGCATACATATATCATATATGTTTGTATATTCACAATAAATTTAAATAGTAAATAAATTAAAGATTTTACATTTTATTTGAAATGACAAAGAAGACAAAGAAGGTTGGAATCACAGGTAAATATGGAACCAGATATGGTGCATCATTAAGAAAGATTATCAAGAAATTTGAAATTTCACAACATCAAAGATATTTTAATACTTTCACAGGAGCTGTATCAAATTAATTGATATATTTTAGCATTCATTAAAAAGATAAGCAATAGGTATTTGGAGATGTACTTAGACAGGATTGTAAATTGCTGGTGGAGCTTGGGAAGTCAAGTATTTATTTATTGCTATTAATTTAGTACTCCTGCTGGATTATCTGCAAAATAAGGTATGTTGAGAATCAAGAAATTAAAAGATGATGCTGAAGTTGAAGTTAAAGAAGAAAAGAAAGATAAGAAATAATAATAGCCTAAAGAAGAAAAACCTAAAGAATAGCCAAAAGAAACTAAGAAACCATAAACCAAGAAACCTTAAACAAAGAAATAATGATCACGTATATTAATTACATAAAATATAATAAGAATACATCACACAATAAATTTAATATCTTCTGATAACCATCATCTTAATTATACTCTTTCTTTCTCATTCTTAATCTTTACTCATGAACTTAAGATATATTTCTCTCTTTATTTTTCTTAATCAATCAAAATGATACAATTCGAATTCTATTTCAATTTAAAATCTTGTCATTTAACTATTACATTGATATTTTCTCAATATACTATCATAAAGTATTTTAAATATATTAAATCTATAATCCAACATACTCTAAAATAAATACAGTCTTCACACAAAATTAAATAATATAAAAATAATGTATAAATTGATATCTAGTTTTGCTAAAAGTTTATCCACTCAAGCACCTATTTATTCATATCATTTTCCTAATGGTTCAGTTTATAATAATGTAATCATTAATTAATTTCAAAGCCAGCTGTGACAGCTAAAAGAATAATTAAAGTAGTTGGTGATAGATTAAGAAAAATAGACCCAGAAAGAGTATCAAATAATAATAATTTAGTGGGAATCTACTCCAATTACATTTAATACGAATTGGAATGATGCTGCTGGTTATGTTGATGTAGCAACATGCATTCATATACATGATGCTTTAGAAAAAGAATTTGGAATAGAAGTTAAAGATAGAGCATTTCTTGTTTCAAGTATTGAAACAGCCTTTTACATTGTTAATATTCATCATGATAGTCATTGATAGTGAGAAGGATTATGAAATAATAATAAATATTATAATAACATTATTAAAATTCCCTAAGTATCAGTCCTTAAAAAAAAACCATTTATATCAATCAATGTCAAATTAATTTTTAGAAAATATATCATGCTATAATTATTTAATAATTTAATGATCTAATTCTCTAAAACTAAAACTAAAATTAAATATTATATATGAAAAAAGTTTACATTTATTTAAGGATTGTTAAACTTTTTCTATCAATGGAATAATATCTAATATAAATTATTGATTAAATCATAAATTCAAGGTTTTTCACTTACTTTATTTGATTCAATAATTTTAATTTTTTTTTAACTAATTCTTATTTTTCGTCTAAATTTCTTTAAACTATTTATGATGTATATCAAATTGTTATGTCTCATGTATTTTTGATAATTAAAATATGAATCCATTTTAATTTCATTGCCTACTTAAAGAAATTAGTCCAATTAATTTTGTGCATAACTTTTATATTCAGTATTAACTTATTAAATATTCTAGAGTTTGCTTGCTCTTAAAACTATCATATTATTTCCTTCTACAGAAATGCTTCCTATCCTAATTTTAGAAGCCTTCTAAGGGATATGCTCTACATCATCTTTAATGTTTTTTTCAAGTGATAATAATTCATTATTTGGAGAATCAGATATTGGATCCTCTTTATTTTATTTTCCTGGAATTTTATCAACATTTTTTTCATCCAAAATTTAATCCGAAAAATAATTATCTCTCACATATGATATAGTATTTTTTATTTCAATAAATCTTGTTCTTGATGGAACATAATGATAATGTCTCTTGAAATATTTTCTTTCTTAATTTTAAGATCCATTATACTATTTTTTAATACATTTTAACTTATTAGGTTAATATGTTATGAGAGGACAATCTATACTCTCATGTTTTAGGAAACCACAAAAGTTACATTTTTTTAAAAAGTGTGAATAATCATTATATAATAATATTGTATCTTTTATATTATAAAATTATTCTAAATCTTTTTAATTATCTTTCAATATTTTTAAAAAGGTTTTTCTATTTATTTTTATTATTTATGTAAATCCTAAACTCTAAGCATTAGTTTTTGTTGATTACTCAGTAAAAAAAGAGTATTCATTGAAAGTACTATTTGATTTCAGAACTTGAATTTAAGTTTATGATTATTCTTCATTAATTTATACCTATCCAGAATTAATATAATAAAGGAAATGCTATTGTTCATTTTAATGATAAATATATTCACCTGGTGTGAAATTTTAAATTTTTAAATGATGGATCAACATATTAAGAGTAGAATGAGAAAAATTTTATTACAGGATTTTTATTTTTTAAATTAACTTTTATGCAATATCCCTTTTCACTTCTGCTTTTAATCCTTTTGGTAAATATTTAAGAGAATTTTCTGAATCTTCCAAAGAATCCTATTCTTTCTAATGTAAATACTTAACATAATTTCTAACTTTTTCTTATATAGCTTAATCTACTTAATTTTGCTACATATAACTATTGATACATGTCATGTTTCTCCTATTTTTACTAATAAAAATTTACCTATAGTTTAATTTACTATCATTAATGCTTTTCAATATAATTCCTATTGAATTCATTGAATAGGCAAATATACAACTTGAAAAAATCATCATAACATTTGATGTCAATATTTCATATTTATTTCGAGCTGTTATGTCGCCATATCCTACTGTCACCATTGTCATAGTTGCCCAATAAAAAGAATAATTATATTTTACACTAATAGATTCATTTATGAAACCATATTCTGTCAACCAAGTAGATTCTTCAAAATAAATACCAATATCTCCCACTAAATGCCAAATACATGCCATGTAATGTGCTACATAGTAAATTTAAATAATAAGAATAAATAAATCTAAAAAATTACTAAGATTTCCTTTATTATAATAACTATCTATATAATACTCTGTTTTTCGCAAAAGAGAATATATACAGGAGAAAACTAAAAAAATTCCCAAAATAATCATATAGATTTAATCTTCTAATTTTTAATTTAAGAATATCAGGCTTATCCAAGTTATAAATTAAATTAAATCTCCCATTAAACTGGATTTTATATATTATCTAAAAATCTTCTATCTGTTTACAATATACTCTCCTTTATGAAAAATCTTTCTGTTAAAAGTTATCGCAATATTAATTAATGTTATTATTGATAAAATCTCTTTTAATAAACTGATATCATAATTTAATCTATAAAAACTTATACTGAAGGGCAGGAACCACAATTATAATAAATATTGTATTATCATTAAAGCATCCCATATTTTCATCTAAATGCTAAAAGCTTCAAACACGGGGATAATCGAATTTTAAGATTTATCCTGAAAATTATCAAGATTTTTATTCGAAAGGAATTATTCAAATTGCATTATTTTGTCACTAATTATTATAAATATAGTTTTACTAGTAATCCTTAGATAATATGTAAGATTTCATAAAAAGATTCTATGTAAACTGTTTAACAAGTATATTTTTAGCAGCCAACTGATGTAATTATTATAATGGATTTAAGTGAGTTCTAGATTTTTTCACAGCGAGTTATGTATCAGAATTTTAAATTATGAATTATTATTATTGATTTTATTTTAGGCTGTTTTTCATTGCTTCATCTCCTTCTGAATAGAGGGAGCAAACCTAAGAATCAGGTTTATTGATTCCAAAAGTATTTTTTAAAGAAATTTATGGTCCTTTAGGTGAAGCTAAGATCTAAGGATTAGAATCATACTCTTCTATATTAAAGTTAAAGGACATGAATAATAAGATTAATTATATTACTTATTAATTTCATATATTATATTTAAATGAAATAATAATCAATATTTGTCACTGTTGGTAAGAATTACTTTGATGAACTTATAGAATCAATTCATAATTAGGAAACTTAAAATAAACTAAAATACTGAATTTTAATAAAATAATTTAGGAATTTGAGAGATTCACATTATTGTTGTATTTTTTTAGTTTTTTTTTCAAAAGTAAATTTTTTTAAAAATTATAATCATCATTAAGTATTAAGAAATAAAAGATTAATTATTTATCATTGTAGATCAAAATCATTTTCACAGTTCTTTGAAATTCAAAAAAAAAAGTTTATTAAAATAAATAATGAGTTATGTGTGGACAATCATTAAATGGAAATATTTAATGTTTTAAATAATTAATAATTAGTATACAGGTTTTTATCTAAACGTTAGATCTATAAAGAAAGAGAAGATAATTAATATAGTCTAATTTAATAAATAAATTAAGTAATGATAACAACGAAAGCATATTCATAGTCAAAACCAAATAAAATCGATAAAATTCTAGATTTAATGTTATGATATATATATTATTTAAATATAACTGCATAGGAGATCTCTATTAAAGTGAGTATAAGATCCCCCGTTATTTTAATTTATAAAAGGGGGTAATATTATATATAAACAGAGCTTATGGATTAAAAAACTAAAGTGGAAGTATATTAATAAAATAATAAAGTAGGCAGATCATTGTGATCATTAGCATAAATATTTTAGTCAGAGTATACCTTTATTATTAAGTTAAATCATCAACATTAGATTAAATCAGCCTCGTTAAGATGAACGTAAATATTATTCAGAAACTGTAAAGCAAGTATTATATTTAACTAAAACTTATTTAGTAAGCTAAAATTTTTAACATTGATAGATGGCAAGAGATAATTGAAAAAGAAGAGTTATATTAAATGTCATTGACAGGTCATTTGATTAAAGCAATTCAACTATAACATGGGAATGCTACCTTATGTAACCTTATAAGTGTTACAGAACCTTACCTTCCATTTTTAAGAAAGCAAAATGGAAAAAATTTTACAGGATTGGCCACTCGTACTGTGAAAGGATGTTTATCTGCTATAGTTTTTAAAAGAAATGATGAATCAACATGGTCAGTAGATGAAACTAAAGTAGAAGAATTCATTTTTTAAGCAAATTAAAAGCTTTTTTAATTCTTCGAGAAATTAAAGAAAAATTTTCCAATTTATGAAAGTATTAAGACAGAAAACAATTATAGAAAAACAAAAAAAAGAATCAAAATTGTATAAAAAAAAGACAATGAATAATATAATGAAAGATGTTAAACTTTTTTATCTTAAAAATCAGAACTTCAAGATAATATTAAAATTGAAAATCACTATTAGAATTTTGATCAAAATGTTAGTAGTAGAATCAACACTGATTGGCATTATTCCATAAGTGATAATATTTTTAAAAGTTTATATTATTTGAGATAAGGTGAAAAAATAGATGATCAATTTTTAGGTAATTTGATATGGTTTTACAATATTAAAAATTAATTAGATAGAATTCAAGAATGTTAAAATTTTATTGATTGATATCATATTTATGTAATATATATTATAATTAAAATGGGTAATAATCAAAATAATAATAACACAGTTCATAATTAGAATGTATAACATTTAACAAATGATCCTAATTATTAATAAGTGCTTAGAGATTTATATCAAAATAATCCTTAATAAATAGTTTAGGATTTTCCATAATATCTATAAAATTAAGATTAGCATCCAGCGAGATTTAAACATAATGTCGAAGTTAAAAAAGTTGTTCCAAAATAAAATAATACTTATATAAAAAAAGATTCCTTTAAACTAGTATTTATAGAATATATGATCTAAGACATAAATTGATGCTAGTACTTATTAAATAGAATTTGTTTTCGAATGTTTAGAGGCAATGACACTCAAAATTCATTTGTTAGCCGTCGAAATAATTAATAATGAATTTATTACCTAAAAAATCAATGCTTTTATATAAAATACATACCAATTTGAACCTGTTTCAGCTTATAAATTCGATAAATTTTAGTTTGATATTAGATAAATCAAACTTGAAGACTTAGAGTTTATAGATTAAGAAAATCGATATTATCCTTTAATCATAGAAATGGTAGAAATGCAAAATTAATATAGGAAACAAAAGAAAAATAATTATTTTAATACTGTTTTTTCAAGTTCAATTAAAATGAAATATCATTATAGACATCAGAGATTAAAATGTAAAAGAATGGCAAAGCCTTTAGTGTTAGAGATGTTTATGGTGGATAAAAAGATTAAGATAAAGATTGTGTTATTTGTTTGAGTAATAAAGTTAATACATTAATTTTACCATGCAAACATATGAGTTTATGTTAGACATGCTGTTAAGGATTAAAGGAACGTAGTTCTAAATGTCCAATTTGTAGAAATAGAATAAGTAGCTTTAGAATAATAATGAGAGGGCAATGAAAATAATTAAATATACCAAAATCATTTTTTTTGCTTTTATTTTGATAACTTTTATATGGCATTTAAAGCTTCTTTTTACTTTTTTTCTGCTTCCTCATCATTTTTGTGAGAAAATTATTATTATTATTATTAAGATTATTATTATTATTATGAAGTTTATATTTATGAAAGACGCTTAATATGATCCTCAGCATAATAATACATTTCTGTTTAATTTTATTGAATTTAAAATTTTGAACCTTTTTTTTTATGAACTTTAAATCCAAATATTTTTGACACAAATTCATTAGCTGGTTAAGTTGGGTTTAATTCAGAAAAAACCGATAAAAATATATGAGGAAAAACTGAACCAAAAAATGAACCATCAACATCACTCATTTATTTTTTTGGAGAATAGACATCCTAACATCTTGGACAAAATATCTAGAATTAAATATTATAGATTTTACTTTAACTCGAGAAGTTCTTAAATCATGACTTAATCCTATAGGTAATACATTTTATCTTTCACATAAGACTCTAGGACATACACCAAATCTTCCTTATAAATATTTGGATTTCATTAAAGTTAAACCTTATGGAGTAATAATAAATCTAGCATGTAATAAACCATATAATTCTGATGCTTCATTATAGAGTTCTAAAAATCTTAATTATATTTTTTCATTTAATACTAATCATCCTCTAAATCTTCATCTGTTGGTGTATTTGGAGATAAAATCATTTATAAGGCTTCTCTAATTCATTATATATTATGTTTACTCAAAATGATCAAACAATTATTTCAATCCATAGAGATTAAATTAGTCTGCTATAAAAAATTCATCAATTTCACAAAAAAAGTGATGGTCTTCCAAATTGCAATACCATTTTATCCATCCATTCTCATTTACAGAGATATCTATTTGTAATTAAGATGAAACATTTACTGCTTTAAGACATTTTGAATTTAAAATTAATAATAAATCAACATTCATCTATAATAAATAACTAAATTATCAATTCCAAAACTTGTTTCACAAGTACATTTTGATGTCAAACCCCTAAATTAAAATTTAATTCATTATGAGAATGATTAAATATTTTCATTTTAAGACTATCTGTATATTAAAATAATAATACATATTAATTTGATCACAAAATCTTGAACTCCCATTAAAATTATTATGATGTTAAGTATTTTCTAATTTATTTTTCCAAACTAACAGTTTACAATTTTAAAATACTAATTTATTCATATGCTTTCATAATAATTTATTCTGATTCTCATTAATCAAACACATGCAATACTAATTCAATTTTTATTTAATTATGTTAAGGTAAACTATTAAATTTTTTGCTTAATGTTAAATTTTTATTCTCATAACATCCTCCAAAAAATAAACATCTCTTAATTATTTACATTTCGTATTTAATTAATCATTAAAGTCTAAATGATTCAACAATTCCTACTAAACTAGAATAGTAATATTATGAAGAATGTTATAATAAGACTTTCTATTTTTTCTTTTTATATACAGATATTGAACAATTAATAATTAATGATCTACCTTCTTTTATTGATTTTAATGTTCCAACTTAAATAATTTAGTTTTCAAAACCTATGTCTCCAATTTTTTAATATTTTAATTTTTAGCCTGTGAATTCTATATTTGTACTACTTCTACTCCTATTTACATAATATTTCTCCAAATATAAAATTTTTTCTTGCCCAAACTCTTCCACTAAAAATTATTGGTTTTTCATTTTACTTATAATTTTATTGTTTTTTTATTTCTTTAGTTTTTTTCTCCTCTGCTTAAACATAAAATTAATTTAATTACTCTTACTTTCAACTGCTATACAAAATAAAATGTAAAGAATATGTATAAATAGGATTAAATACTTCATTAATTTATAAAATATTTAATAATACCGAAATATCATAATCATTAAGGGTGATTTATTTCTGGTTATTAATCTAGATTTTATCAAATTGATATGATTCAAATATCCATTTATTTATTTTTACTTAAAAATATATTATATTTATTACAATTAATGAATACTAGAACTCCTATTCCAACATTCATACTGAAAACATATTAAATGCTTGAAGTAATCTTTTTTGAATGAATTTTAGGAATAAAAACATGCAAATATTGTTAGTTGGACTGCTTAAGGCACAGCATTTATTGTTTATAATCAATAGTAAATGGAAAAAGAAGTTTTATAAAATTTCTTTAAGCATAGTAATTATTCAAGTTTTGTTAGGTATTCTATTTAATATATAGTTTTTAGATAGTTAAACTTATATAATTTCAAGAAAGTTAGATCAAAAGAAGGATAAATTTTTAAGCATAAATGTTTTAGAAAAGGGATGAAGTATAAGTTTTTTCTTAACATTTATAGATCGATGTTATAATTTATAAAAAGAAGAAATCAAGAAGATATCGTTACTTCTACTCTATAGGAAGAACCTAGTATTTTATTTTTCGTTATTATGATAGCTATTTCAATAAAGGAAGAATAGAACTTATTTAAAGAATGTGCCATAGATATTAAGGAGACAAATAACAAGTTAAAAGAAGATATGAAATTATTATAAGAAACTTCTTCTTATTTGATTGATTAAATGCAGAACTTAAATCATGTAATAAATCCTTAAAATTATCAGTTTGTTTACAATTAAAGTGTCGATATTGAAGTCAAATTTAAATAAGTTGGTTAAATGCTACATGCCATAAATGAAGAATTAAGATAAGAAAGTATCATTATTCATAATAATTTTAGATAAAAGTGAAACATAAACTAATAAATTTATAGGAGAATATAAATAAGTCAAAGAAGATGAATTTTAGGAATCCAAAATTGGATCTCCAAATCCATATGTGGATTATAATAGTACAGCACTCAATCCTTTAGATTATGAGTGTTTCATAGACTCTTTTTTGTGATCATCTTATAAACTACAATTTTATTTATAAATTTAATTATTATTATATATATATATATCCTATATTTCTCACACTTATCCACTTAGATCTTTGTCTTTGAAATAATTATAAACAATATAGATTTATGATAAACTTATAGCAATTAATACTCCAACCTTTATAATAGCACACCATTAAACTGATTTCTCTGTTTAATCCAATATTATTGCATGTGCATTCTCTCTGTCCGATATCCAATGTTAATTTCTATATATGCTTTAAAAATTTTTTTATGTTTTTTGTAATTCTTTTGACATATGTTCAAACTATTCGGATTATGCATATTCTTTATCAACTCCTTCAATATCAAAGTCAAAGCTCACCATTTTATAACTCTTATCTCGACTTTAAAAACAAATATAATAATTATCTTTGTCTTTTAAAGTTTCTCTAATCCTTCCATCCTTTGTATTTTGAACTTTTACTAATATTTCCCCATCTTTTTTCCTTATAAAAGCATCTGTTTAATTTTCATCCAAACCTGAAACTATGTAATTTACTGTTAAATTTGAATTCTCTTCAGGAGAATTTACCAAAAAGCAGGTTGGCTTCTATGAAAGCTATGTTGCTAATGACTATCCTAATATGATTAAAGTTGATATATATAATAAATATTTCATATTTTTTATTTCAATTAATGTATGTAATTTATATATTAAAATCCTTTCATATTTACTACTTAATTCAATTTGCATTTCCTATTTATTTGCTCAATCTGTTATTTTTATTAAATAACTCATTTTTAGAAATAATAAAGATAAATAAAATATTAATTCTAAAATTTTAGATTTTTTAGGAAATATATCTTAATTTATATAGATTAATTCTAATTTTCTTAGAAGGCCATTATTATTATTGAAAATTTAGAATTCAGATATCAATTTTAATTATAAAGTAAAATAGAATGCTTTTTCATTTATAGTGCNAGCACTCAATCCTTTAGATTATGAGTGTTTCATAGACTCTTTTTTGTGATCATCTTATAAACTACAATTTTATTTATAAATTTAATTATTATTATATATATATATATCCTATATTTCTCACACTTATCCACTTAGATCTTTGTCTTTGAAATAATTATAAACAATATAGATTTATGATAAACTTATAGCAATTAATACTCCAACCTTTATAATAGCACACCATTAAACTGATTTCTCTGTTTAATCCAATATTATTGCATGTGCATTCTCTCTGTCCGATATCCAATGTTAATTTCTATATATGCTTTAAAAATTTTTTTATGTTTTTTGTAATTCTTTTGACATATGTTCAAACTATTCGGATTATGCATATTCTTTATCAACTCCTTCAATATCAAAGTCAAAGCTCACCATTTTATAACTCTTATCTCGACTTTAAAAACAAATATAATAATTATCTTTGTCTTTTAAAGTTTCTCTAATCCTTCCATCCTTTGTATTTTGAACTTTTACTAATATTTCCCCATCTTTTTTCCTTATAAAAGCATCTGTTTAATTTTCATCCAAACCTGAAACTATGTAATTTACTGTTAAATTTGAATTCTCTTCAGGAGAATTTACCAAAAAGCAGGTTGGCTTCTATGAAAGCTATGTTGCTAATGACTATCCTAATATGATTAAAGTTGATATATATAATAAATATTTCATATTTTTTATTTCAATTAATGTATGTAATTTATATATTAAAATCCTTTCATATTTACTACTTAATTCAATTTGCATTTCCTATTTATTTGCTCAATCTGTTATTTTTATTAAATAACTCATTTTTAGAAATAATAAAGATAAATAAAATATTAATTCTAAAATTTTAGATTTTTTAGGAAATATATCTTAATTTATATAGATTAATTCTAATTTTCTTAGAAGGCCATTATTATTATTGAAAATTTAGAATTCAGATATCAATTTTAATTATAAAGTAAAATAGAATGCTTTTTCATTTATAGTGCTTTATAGTAGTAGATTTAAAATAATTTTATTAAATATTTAAAAATAAAAAAATTATATTTAGAAATTTATTTATTATTATTGTTGTTCATTATCTTAACTTTAAATTATTAAAAGAAAAAATCTCCAATTTTTATTTAATAATAGATTTAAGTATACTGAAGAACTAGAGTTACCTCTTAATTAATTTGTATCATTATTAACTTTATTTATAATAAGAATTAAGTTTTGATAACTTTTATTAACAATCAAACAAATCCCACCTTTAATGTATCAAATTAAAACTATTTAATATATTTTAAATACAAATTCTAACTAATTTTATCAAGTTCAATTATTGGTACTAAAAATAGTAGAAATGAGATACACTAAATTCTTAATGATATTCATGCAAGTTTTATACATTTGCTTAAATACTATAATGAAAATAATAAGAATTAATTTGATATAAATAGAAAGTTTTAGTTTTGTGGTTAAAGAATAATTTACAAAGTTAAGATGGTAATATATAAAAAACAAGAATCATAAAATTCCAAACAAAAATTTCTAAATTTATGAATTTCATGAAAGAAATTGATTTGAAAAACTTCATTCTTGCTTTTTTAATCTCTCAAAGAAGTTATAGGCTTTTATAAATGAATGCTTTAGCCAAACTTCTATTTTTAGATTATACTAAGCATTCTAGTAATTGTGAATGTTTTTGTAAGGACATGGCTTTTTTCCATTTAAAACATCAACAACTTAAACAGGAGCAGGTCTTTTATTGTTTTTATAATAATGTATTAAGGATTTAGCACTGGAATAGTTTAATTTTAAATCATGAGCAACCTAATGTGATGATTTGTTTCTCTTACTTATTTGATTTATTTCCCCTCCTAAAAAACTTATATGAACAATTATTATTATATTCGTATTGGTATTTTATGGATTCTTCTTGATGACTTTTTTATATGCTTTTTTTTTATAACATAAATTTCCTATTCTGAAACTTTTACAATTGAATTATTAATAGAAGATTCTTAATCAGTGTTTTACATGTTAGAGAAGGTTTTAAGAAAGCAATTTATAAATAACTAAAAATAATTATTATCAATTTTATGTTATTATTTACAACAATTTATATTTATATTTGTTAAAGTTAGCATAAAGATATTTTTTATATTTAAGTTATTACAAACAATTAATTAGTTAGATTAAGAGAGGTTTTGAGATATATTTTGATTTTAGCACAGATTTTAGTTTTAAATTTAATTTAAGATTTAAATTATTTTATATATATTCATAAAACAAAATTTTTCTTTTAAAGAAAAGCGTTATTCATAAATTATTTAAAAATTAACAATAAACTATTTAAATCTAAATAATAATCATGGAGCAACTTATTGAAAGGATTGCATAAAGAATAAGGATATTAAATACTTTTAAATATAATTTTTATATATAATTTGAATTGGAAAAAGTTTTTCATTACAAAATCTAAAATTAGAATAAAATTTATTCTTCAATCATTTTAGAGATTTTTTTATGGCATTTTTAGTAATTAATAAAAATTGTATTTCTTAATAGTGTTTTTATGAACTTGAACTAGAACAAACATATTTTCATTTCCATTTCTTGTCTTTCTGATTCCACAAAGCTTTTTTTAGTTTAAAATATTTGAAATAGCTGTGGGAATAGGTCTTTTATTATTTTTATAATAATGTATCAATGATTTTGCACTTGAGTAATTCATGCCCAATGACTTGGCAACCTAAATATTATATAAATTCTGGTACTTATTTTATTCGCTTTCCGTTTACAAAGACCATCTAAAATAACATAATTTACGTTTTTAAAGGAATCTTATGATAACGTTTAGCATCAGCAATGGCTGCTTAACTTCCCCTTAATTTTCTTAATTCAACTTTATACTCTGATGAAGTAAATAGACTTTTATCGCTTTTTTCAGATTCGTTTAAGTCAACAAATGAACTTTTACTCATTTCAATAATTATATGATAATTTTATTATATATCACCCTTTGTTAGTCAATCTTTTGAATGCTCGTAATGTTTAAATCAAAAATTAGTTAAAATTTGTGAAATAATTTAAAAATACACTTCATTCAGAATTTTAAAGCCTAATTTTAAAGAATAGTTAAAAATCATATCATTTTCATAATTGTATTGTAATAGCTTTAAAAATGATTTAGAAAAATTTATAATAAATATTTTGTGTTAATTTATAATGAAAAATAATCCAAAAGCTTAATTGCTATAACGCTAACATTTAGTTGATAATTTTTTTAAGTTTGTGTATATATTGTCATTAATTAATAATTGAATGAAACTTGAATAAGAATTATGACTCATTTTAATTAGTATAAAATGACTAACTTGTACTTTAAATATTTTCCTTATCTTAGTCATATAGAAAAGAAATTAAAACTTATAGAGGAGTAAATCTTATGAATAAAATTTTATATTGATAATAATATATGTTTATATTAATATATGAATGTTTATTTCACTACATTATAGCTTTGAAGGCATTAAAATCCATATCTTTATCTAAAATATTTTTAACATTTATTTATTATTCATGTTGATTAACGATAGACAATTAATTTTTTGTATCTGAGATACTGTCCCATTTATTATTAAAGTTAGCATTTTAATCGAAAATATATTTGATACTCTTTTATGAAATAACTTTCTCTTGCTAACTTAAGAAATCGAACATAAATTGTAATTACTTTTGAAATTCTTATTATGTGAGTGTTATTGCTACAAATTCAAAAAAATCTACGAAGCCATTGCTATTACAATCAATATAAGGCCATAACTTTTGAACATCCTATTTATTAACCTTAAGATAAGTTGCTAATTCTTATTAAGTGATTAATCCAGTTTGAGAAGTATTAATAAAAAAAAAACAATTTTTTTAATTTAATAACTCGCTTGAATCTAATTATGTTGCTAAATAAAAGAGGGCTAATCTTCTTATAGGATGATATTTGACCCATTAATTTAGTGTTATCATAGATAATAATTTATTATCTTAGACAAATTTTTAATTATATTGAGTAATAACTTTATGACTTAATAAATCTTTTGGTAAGAGTCTCTTTTCAGCTGGACAGACTTAAGATCTAATGAAATCTTTAATTTCCTATGAGATTCCTTACCATTCATCACCTATTTTATTTATTAAAGAATATACCATCGAATTATAATGTGCCTGTTTTAATTTCTGTAAGTATTTCTTTTTCATTTTCACCATAAAAAGGAGGATAACCACATAAAATAACATAAAGAACAACACCAGCAGACCAGACATCGCATTTATGATCATACACACCATCTAAAACTTCAGGAGCAACATAGTATGCCTATTTTCTATAAATAGATATACTGTGCCACTTTTGGTTTTTAATTTATCAATACATCTTTTTGCTATACCAAAATCTATTAAAGTTAAGGATGATAAATCATTCTTTTTCTAAAATAAAAAATTTTCTGGTTTTAAATCTCTATTTAATTATGGTGTATATTACCTATGAACAATTTTAAAACCTTAATAATAGTTAACAGCTCGCATATATTAAATATATATTTTAAAAGCATCTTCTACTGGTAGACATCCCTTTTCTAGAACCTTATCAAACACATCACCTCCTTGGCAGATTCTTTATTTAATAAATATATTTACTCTAAAACCATGTAGAGATATTCTGCATCCTCAAATGTTTCATACAATCTCAATATGCTAGGATGATCCTCATGATAATCTATAACTATACCAACAATTCCATTATTGTTATCTCGCTTAATAGTCTTTCTTTATATTTGATATTAAGTTTATTGATTACTTTTACTGCTCTCACTTATTTACTTACTTTATGAATAGCTTTGTATACGCTACCATAAGCACCTTGTCCAATTTTCTACACAGAATAAAATTAAATAATTACATCTTTTTATTCATAACTATAGATTTAGCCAATAGGTTTTGTGTTCTTTCTAATTAATGTTTATTTATAGAGATGGAATGCTGTCGATTTTTGGTCCATTTTTATTTGATAAATTTATATTTGATATAAAATAAACTTTATTTACTTCTAATTTCTTATTTTTTTAATTAGAATCTATTTTTAAATGTTCTTTTCTATAACTCTCTAACCAAAACAACATATCTTTACTATTTAATAATAAATCTATTTATTGAACACCTCTGCGATAAGATCTCAATAAACTCATTACTTTGAACTTATTAAAAGTAATTTATAATATGATAAATTAAGTTCAATCTTGAAATAATCTTTTTTCATATAGAGATACTTTGATATTGAATTGTTTACATTATTTGTATAATTTTAAATAAATTAAGTTGAAGAAGTTAATGATTTTGCCATTCATAACAACAACATATTTTATTACAATAATAACTTTAAAAATTAGCATATATATTAAAGGCTGTTTGGGCTGTTCCTTACCTAAATTGCTAAAATGATAAGGTTTGTCTAAGAATGTTTAAAATCTGTGAATAAAGTATACATTTATAAAATAAAATAAAATTCATTATCATCCTAATTTATTTATTAATTTTAATATAAAATATGATTATTTAGATAATAAGAGTAAATAAATAGATAGATTAAAATAGAAAAATTAATGTCTTTTAAAAAAATTTCCTAAAATAAAATATTTATTTTGTTTGTGTAATTATTTACTGAAGGATTAAGAATGCTCATTTGTAAAAGAGAATTGCTTAGAAGCAGGCCTTTTGAATTTAAATTCATTAGCTATATAATAAAAATAGTTAATATGTAATTATAAATAGGTAGAGAACAATGTGCAGATAGAAATTGTGTTTGCAAGACAATATCTTCTTTAGATATTTATATTTTTGGATGTTATTGTTTGATTATTATAAATATAAAATATCAAAAAAAATGCTTAAATCTCAAAGATCTGATTATGCCTCTGATTCTTGTAATATTGTGAGCGATAAAGCTAAAATTCAAGTACTAAAAAAGGCAGTATTTGAATTAAGATAATAAAAAGAACAATTAGAAATTTCCAACCAATCTTTATCAATCGAATTAAATAAAGTACTTAAAGAAAAGGAATATAATGTATGAATAATCTCAAATTGCTAAGGAATAATCATTTATTGAGTTAGTTGAAGAATTAAAGCAAAGAATATCTATTTTAGAGGGAAATATAGAAACTACTCCTGTTAGAATAAAATCTTCTAGTAATTTTTACACGCAAAATGAAATAATAGAAGGAACAACAGATTAGCAATTACAAAATATGATAAAAGTGAACAAATAATTACAATAGTAAGTGATTTGATATATTTTAGAGAAATAAAAATTATGTAAAATAACTTTTAAGCTTAATAAAGTATTCTATAATACCAATAATAAAATTTAGAAAAAGAATTGATTAATAAAGAAATAATAATAGTTAAACTTAGCAAAGAGTTAGAAGAGGCTAATTAACTGAATAGACAATTAAAAAAAAACATTCAAGATATTGAATAAGATTTATATAATAAAATAATTGATCAATCATAAATAAATACAGATTTGAAAATAAAAATTTAAAATTTTGAATCAAGTTTAATATAAAAAGAAACAGAAATTCAGAATTAAGAAAAGATAATTGAGCAATAAAAACAAAATTTATTTGAATTAGAAGAAATAAAAGGGAAATTTTTATAACATAGATTAATTTTGAAGAACTAATTGCTTGAAATTAATTGTGTTTTCATTCTTCGATAAAATATTTAGGATGAATATAGTTTAGAATTGGAAACAACAGCAAAAAGATTCACTTATAAAGCAAATGAGATAACAGATTTGCAAGTGAAAGATGATAAACATTTTATTTTAACACTGTCTAAAAGATAAGAGACATTTAAAATAATGTAAGGATAAGATATAAAAAAGATTTGTAAATCTATAAAGTAATAATTTAAAGTATACTTACAGATAATTTTTAATTAAATCTCAAATTCAATTATAAAGTATTTAAACAAAATGAAGTAAATTAATTTATATTTATATATATTTTTGGGTATTTAAATATTTTAAAAACTATAATGAAGCAAGATAATTAGATAAGAACTGAATTAAGTTGTTAATAGAAAGTAAGAGTTATAAAATGGAATAATAAGAGGGATAATTATATAAAATACTAAAAATAGTATGTCATTTGAAATATAAGCAAATTGATAATACGTAATTATTTGATAAATTTAATTAAAAATCTTATAATGGATACACATCGTAATTATGAAAACCTTGAATATGCCATTGGATTTGGTAATCATGTAGAAACTGAAGCATTAAAGGGAGCAGTTCCAAAAGGATAGAATAGTCCTTAAAAATGTGCTTACAATTTGATAGCTGAATAATTTTCAGGAACAGCCTTTACTTTACCTAGAGCTAGTAATCAAAAGTCTTGGCTATATAAAATTAGACCAAGTGCTGTACATAGTCCTTTTGTAGATGCTCCAGAATTTGGAAAATATGTAAAAAACGATTTTATGAATGATCATGGATTAACCATCACTCCTAATCAATTAAGGTAAATATCAATTATATAATTATTAGATGGAAACGATTACCATTACCTGAAAAACCTACAACATTTGCAGAAGGTTTAGTTACTGTTTGTGGAGCAGGTGATCCATCTATTAAATAAGGAATTGCCATTTATTTATATGCTGCCAATAAGAGTATGACTAACTCAAGTATGTTTAATAGTGATGGAGACTTTCTTATAGGTATATAAACATATTAAAATTAGTACCTTGGGAAGGAGAAATGTTAATTATAACAGAAATGGGTAAATTGACGGTGAAACCAAGGGAAATATGTGTCATTCCTCGTGGAATTAAGTTTAGTGTAGAAATGACTAAACCAATTAGAGGATACATATGTGAAGTCTTTAAAGGTCACTTTAAAATCCCAGATTTGGGACCTATAGGAGCTAATGGTTTAGCAAACCCAAGAGATTTTTTAGTTCCTGTTGCATTTTATGAAAATACTGAAGAAGAATTTTAAATTATCAATAAATATCTAGGAAAATTCTATAAATGTACAAAGAAAGGATCTCCTTATGATGTTGTAGGATGGCATGGAAACTATTATCCTTATAAATATAATTTAGATCTTTTTAATGCTATGGGAACTGTCACATTTGATCATCCTGATCCATCCATATTCACAGTAATAACATGTTAAACTGATGAACCAGGGTATTATTAATTTATATATTTATCAAAGAGTTGCAGTTTGTGATTTTGCTATATTCCCACCAAGATGGATGGTTGCTGAACATACTTTTAGACCACCTTATTACCATAGAAATATTATGAGTGAATACATGGGAAATATTGCTGGCCAATATGATGCTAAAGAAGAAGGTTTCTTACCTGGTTATGGTTCATTACATAGTCTTTTATAAGGACATGGACCTGATCATGAATCATTTACTAAATGGTCAAATATTGATTTAGAAGTATAATATCTATTTTATTGTATAGCCAATTAGATATCCTTATGAAAATTTGGCATTCATGTTTGAAAGTTCATATATGTTTAAGACTTGCTCATTCGTTATGGATGATTAAGTTAACCTTGATCATGACTATTTCCATGTAATTTATTCATATCTATTTATTTAAGTGTTGGGATAAATTGGCTCATAACAAATTAGGAGATAAACCTTGATAATTATATGTATCAATCATTATTTCGAAATTATAACAAATTTTTCCTTTTATTTTTTAACTTTTAAATTAATATCAAATTATAATAATTTTTTTTTTTCTTATCTAGTTTTAATAAAACAAATTTATTAATAAAAAATTACTCAAATATTCTTAAAAAGATATGATCATTTATTAAGTGATTTTTGGTAATAATTTATTTATATTGCACCGAAATAAGAAAATTAAGTTTAAATAATTATAAATTAAAAATTATCAAAATAAAAATTTTTTAATTTTAATTCTTTGAATGATTTTATCTTAAGATATTATTTTCATCCAGTGTTATTCTCAAATTTATGAATAAAAAGTATTTTAATTATTTAAAATTTATATAATTTTTTTATATTAATATTTAATTAATATTTGGGAGCTTTTGAGGCATTTTATTTCTTGTAAAATAAATTGTATTAATTTATTTGTTTTAAAAGTAAATGAATATAAAATACAGAATAAATTGTTTCTATAATAAAGAAAATGTCAAAATATTAATATCTATAATGAAATAAATTCATAAATTCATTTATTATTTTTATTTTTCTTTTTCTTTTTTGATTGTTTAGATTCTTATTCAGCATTTTATTTTTCTTATTGATGATGATTTTCTTTTTCAATAATTCCATTGGTTTGTTCAGTAATAATTTATTATTATTACTAAGTTTATTATAATGATTGTAACTATGTAGAAGATTATTAGATCTATCTTTCATCTCTTACTTTGAATCCATAAAGAGTTGGTTAGAAAGGTGTAAATAATTCAGTGCCTAATTAAATAGTATATTTAGGATGAATATCTGGATATGTCTGATGATAATATTAATATTAATACCAATAAGAGCAACATAGGGAAACTGCGACCAAAATATGCTCCATCAAAGTCAGCTTAACTTTTACGTGGTGCATATGCTTCTTTACATCTTGGACAAAATACTTTAATTCTGCTAGTTTTAAGACTTTCACTTAAACCAATAGGAATGGTATTTTGTTTTTCACAAAGGACTCTTGGACAATGACCAAATCTACCATTTAAAAACCTTTCTCTCATTACTGCTAAACCTTTTGGTGTTTAAATGAAAGCTTAATGTAATAATCCATATATATCACTGGCTTCTGTATATAATTCAAGGAATCTATGATTGTATTTAAATAAAATACTTCTCGTTTTCTAAATCTAAGGTATCTGGTTATTCTGATGACAATATCATTTATAAAGCTTATTAAAAGAGATTGAATTATTTAATGAGGTGGCCATAATTATTTGGATCTTGTATAAATTCAGAGTCCACTTCAGTCAAATATTAGTTTTATGGTAATTGACAAAACCATTCAACCCAACCGCCTGGATGTTCAGAATATTATGATTCCTCTATTATAGATATTTAGTGATACCTGACATTTGAAATTCAAAAAAATTAATATTATTATCACATAAAAAAATTAGATTTCAATTATTGATTTGGGAAAAGGAATCTTAATATACATAAAAGATATCAATACCAATCTATATAGTAATTCATTGTTTTAAATCAATTATTAAATCGGCAATCAGCATATTTATTAATATTATAATTATTTAATGATTTTGAGTGGATTGATGATTACACTTAACACTTTAACTTAAAATTACATAATCTATAAAGACAAATATCAAAATCCAAATTTTGAATTAGGAGATTATGATACCAATAGTTGTGGAGTTCCTAAATTATAATAGGTATATCGTGATAATGAATTGTCAAAAAACCTTTTTATTCAAGAATTAGTGATAAGTGCAGATTAATAGTTTACTGTTTAGTATTCAATCGAAAACATTATAGATAATGACTTTATTTTAAATTAAAGTAAAATTCATTGAATTATCGATTAGGTGGAATTATAAATGAAAATCTGTCCAACCGATAAGTAATATATATTACTCATGAATGTCCTGTTGATCTTGAGAATTACAATTACTGGGGTCTAATTAGAATAAATTTATCTATAAATGATGAATCGATAAAAATATACTATGAGAGTATATGTAACAATCAATATGAACCAAAGAAGTACTTTAAATCAACAACAGTTAAGATTTGATTTCAGCTATTTGATAATAGTAATCTCAGGCGTTTTATTTGTGTTTCTAACATCCAGATTTGGTCAAATAGCATCGTTATAGAAAGCAAATAAAAAGTTTTAAGGAATTTTAATCAATTACTGGTATTTTATAATTTTCATCTTTATACTATTTGCCTTAGTAGGATTCAATTATATCGATTTGAATGTAGAAGTTTACATTTTGGCTTGCATATCCTATTTGTCTAACATATTTTTTTTAATTGATACATGTTGCTTTTTAAAAATTCATTACTGGAATCATATGAAAGATACTCTATTTTATGTATTAGGATGGATTTTAGGTAGTATCCCAATAATCACATTTTTTGTATTTGGCTTTAGCTGGGTTGTAAATGATGTAATATTTGTTCTTAATTTGGGAACCTTTTTTAAACTCTTTAAGGTAAAATCATTTAAGGATTGTATAACAATCTATGTCCCATTTCTTTTATTTTAATGTTTTCTAAATTATGGAGTTTATGTAAGATGGGATTATGGAAATAAAGTATCCGTTATTCTAAATCTTACTTAATTTTTCACTCTATAAGCTCCAATGTTTAATTATATTCCAACAAGAAAATGTGCATTTATTGAAATTAATACTCTTTTTCTTCCTGGTTTAATGATAGCATATACAATAAGATATGCAAAAGCATCATAATCATATGTTTATTTTATAATTTATTTTTTGGGTTTATTTTTAGGATTAATTTGTTGGTTAGCAATGACTTTTGTTAATAGTAAATATTAAATTACTAGGTATACGATTATTTTACAATTTATTTTAGTTTATTATTTACAGTATTTCCAAGTTCAATTTTAGCAGCAATACTCTGCTATTATAGAAATGAATTATCTGTATTTTACTAGGGATAATTTTATGATCAAATTCTTGATGATCCATTTGTTGCCTCCAAAAATATTAAACAATCCTAATAAACTAATACAGATTTAATCAATCAAAGTAATTAAGAATTACCTGTTATCAATCCCTCTTTGTTTACAGGATTATATGAATTATGAAACATATACATTTAATTGTTTTATTATAAATAATTTATATATTATCATTAAACAAATATATATCAATAAGGATTTTACTTAAAATATTACTTTTCATGATCTTTATTTATATTACTAAAATCTTATTGTTTTATATTATAGATGGTATTGTATCTGAATTCTTCTAATTGTTTTATTTGCATTTATTAATCTTAATTCATCTTTCTTAAAAACTATATATCTTTATCCATTTATTATATTTATTCATTCATTCTTTTATTCAAATTTTCTGTATTCTACAAATTCATCAATTAAGAGTGAAATCTTTAAGCATCATTTTTATATTAGTTGCACTCACTATTTTTTACTAACATTAGACTATTCAATCTTTTAATTTCTTCATTCAATTATTTAGTTTGATGATCTTATTCTTTATTTTTCCATTATACTATTTTTATAAACATAAATATTACATTCATTTAATTATCTATTTTATAAAGTTAAATGTTCTAACTAACCTTTCAACAAATTGTTATCGGTAATTAATTATTCAATATCTTTTCTTTACAATTCGAGCTTCTTAAGTGAAGCATCATAATTTTATTAAACAATTTTCATATTATTTTCACACATACCTAAATGATATTTAAGTGTTCCTATTTCCTATTCCCTTGTATCAACTGCAGTAACAAATTTCTATAATCCATCATTTCTAGATCTTAATTAAACTATTTCTAATTCTAATTAAGAAATCTTATCTTTTAACTTTGAATTTTCTTCATATTATAATTATTATTATTATTATAATTTAGCAAATTAAGACCTTAAACTTTTATGATCAAAATTTAATTAATCTAATAATTATTTCATACTTATGTTATCATTAAGTAATAATTAATTATCTTTTTCTTATTAAGCTAGTTATTTTGTAAGTTATTCATTTTCTAATACTTATTAATCATATTACTAACTTACTCTTTTATTTTCATCTTAAACACTCAAAAGTTTATTAAATTATTTATTTAGTGCATCATGATCTGATTTTAATTGTAAAGTTTATCTTAATAATTCTTTATATTGCATTTCAAAGGCTTTATAAGTAGCTATTTCTTTTCTGACTTATTCAACTTCATCAGCAACTTTTTATAATTCCCCATTTTATGCTTTAAGTTAATTTAATTAAGTTTATAATTCTGTCACTTATCGTTTCATAACTTAATTTTGAGAATCAGCTTCTCTTACATGATCTGCAATAACTTTTAATTCATCAGCTCTCTCTCTAAGAGCGGCATTTTCATTTTTTAATGCACCAGCATTCATAATTTCTCTTGTTTAATTTATTAATTATGCTCTCAATTCTTAGTTTTCTAATTGTAAACCTTTTAATTATTATAGAATTTGAATTTAATTTTAATTTGATACATTAGATTGTTATTACTATTGTTAAATATTAGATTAATTTGGAATTGGTTATTAAGTATTTATTATTGTACTTTTTATAGGTGCAATTGATTATGGGATTTCACTCTAAGGAAAAACATTTCTTTCAAATGGATTATCTTTTTATGGTTTTTCTTATTTCTCTTTGTATATTGGTTGACTTGCTATAACATCTGTAGGAGCTTGAACTGGAGGTGAAACTTAAGATTATTTTACCATCTCTGATTAAGGTCTTAACATTGGAGCTGAATTTGGTATGCTTTTTTATGTTAGATAATCTCCTTTAGATATAGTATTATATTGCAATGCTTTACTCATAGTAATTAATTATAATAATTTATATTGTTATTATTCAATGCTCACACTTAATAGATTAGAAGAATTACAAGAAACACATAAAATACTTTATGTTTCACCTAATAATTATAGAAAAATTAGTATGATAAATGAAAGAAATAGTTTATATGGTGTCACTGTTGATTTTAAATTTTTATCAGAAATTTTGACAAATTAATTTTTAACAAGTTCGCATTTGTTATTCTATTCTAACTTATTTAGATAAACTTACAAAAACGTTAAAGTAATAAAAATTTGATCTTAGATTGCAGTTGCTCAATGTTATTTTTTTGCTGAATATATAGAGACATCTACCTAATAAATTGATAACAAGATTTTAGATAGTTAATTATTAGGTAATAAATAAGATTTTGATGAAAAGAAGAATACTAAAAATCAAAATTTGTAAGATGAATTTTAGAACAAAAGTATATATCAATAATAAGAATAATCATAATAATAATAAACATAATAATAAAATATTAGTGAATAAAAATTAATAAGCAATAATAAAGAATGGACCTTTTAAATTACAAATATCACTCTTGTCTAAAATAAATAGTTAAAAAATAATGAGAAATATAATGTGAATAAATTAGAAAATTTGCTTACATAAATGGCTACATAAAATGAACTCAAAGATATTAATGAATTGAAGTCATAAGACTATCTATACTTTCCTATCAATTTATAAAATTATCATTGGATAAGTTTAGTTGTCAGTCTAAATGAAAATTTGATATTTTATTTTGATTCTTCTTAACCAAAAGTTGATGAAAACATTAAAAAAGCAGTCTTTGAGATACTAAAATATATAGGTGTAAAACAATTTTAAGAGTTTAAAATATAGACTTATTATAATAAATAGGAAAATGGGTATGTTTAATTATTAAGATTTATAGTTTTGATTGCGGAATATTTTCATTGATTTCATTACTTTATACTTATAGATAATAATAGTATGACTATAATCAATAGATTGTGACCAAATATAGAAAATATGTACTATACAACCTTGCAATTATTGGATCCTAAATGGAAATTAGTAAGGAGTTATTTGAAAGAATTATTTAGTTATCATTGCAAACATAATGATAATTTTTAGTTGTTAATTATTAAATAAATAAATTATAAAATTTTTGAATATTAATAATGGAAACTGACATAAACATCCCAAAAACAAAAGCAGTTAATGTTTTCTTTTAGTTTGCAAGAATGTAATTCTATTTAACTGTTTTTTCTAATTTGTTACCTATTATAATAAGTTAAACAAATTAAGTTTGTTCAAGTAAATTAAACATTGTTTATAAGATGAGGGAATAAAATTAATATCTTTAAGTTACAAAGGTGACATAGTATTATTGATTCTAAATTTAATATCACTTTTATTTATATGGTTGAAAGAACCATTTGCAAGGTAAAATGTGTAGTTAATTAATAAGACTTGAGTTTTTTGTAATGTATGCAATTAATATCTGTTGGAGTGGAATTATGGCTGGTTAAACATATTTAGATGTAACAACATAACCAAATGAATGTGAAGGTGTTATCTTATCATAAAAATTAATACTCTTTTTTCATTTTAAAACTCATTTAGAAGTAATACTGAAAAAATGATCTATAGGTTTTATTTACATTATTTTCTCCAATTTTATTTGCATTCAGAATAACTAATTTGCCAAATTCACTTTTTGCAATATATTTAATATTGACAGCAAATTCTTAATAATAATTGTGTTCTAGAGATATTACTAATATTGAATTTGGATTAATATTTATAGCTTTAATATGTTGTTTAATTGGTTTGCCCTTAAATATTGGATTATTTTGTACAAAAAAGGTAACAATTCCAAATTTGTTTCGATTTTTATTAATGTTAACAATAATTGGTTAGAGTGGTTTAATAGGTTTATATAAATGAATATAATTGTAGCTTTAATTTATTAGGCTGATGTAGATCTTAAATCAGAATGTAGTCCAACACATCTTATATTTAGATCTTATTTATATATTATTCCAATAACAATTTTAAGTGCTTTAAGTTTGTTGTTTTCCATGCCAGTTTAAGATCATGATGAAATTAGATAACTTTTAATTCAAGCTAGAATGAAACCATTAAAACCATCATTACCGATCTAATAATAAGATATAACTAAACCTTAAGTATAATAATAATAAGAAGAAATATTAAATAAATCTGTTTTAGATGCAGGAAAATCTCAAATCGGAGCCAAATCATAGATTGGTGCAAAATCATAATATGGAACTATTAGTAGAAGAGGATGAACTTAAAATATGTTTATATAAAAATCATGCTCTAAAGTAATTGTGTTAATTTCTAGAAGTTTTATTTCTTTCAGTCTACAAAATTCTAGCAAATTTCTCAGATATGATATGTTTAACTCCATGTTGTATTTCTTCATTTTCTAATTCTAATCCAAAAGTTTTTAGTCTCTTTTTAACATAATTTACATTTTAAATATCTTCAAGCATGATTTCTCCAGTTCCATCACCTTTATTATTAATTTTATTGTAATTTTATCTGCAATAAACAATACCTACACCTTAATGTCTTAAAGTTCTTTTAAATTATATTTCATTGAATTTCTCAGGAAGTCCTTTTACTTTTATTTATTATGGTTTAGATGAAGGTGTTAGAGATCGTTAAGAAGATAAATTAAGCAGTTCTGTTTTCTCTGGGTATAATCTTAATGGAGATATTTAAGCAGTATTTTTTAATCTAGAAGTATTAGTAAAATTGAATTAAGATTATAAAGGATGCTTATTTGGAGTAGCTTACTTATTTTTTTAATATATTTGATATATCTTTGAATTCTACACAGTCAATGATGCTGAAAGATCTGGCTCTATTGGAAATAAGAATTCTTTTGGATGATCGATTGTGCTTATTGATCGTAATTTCATTTTATTAACAGATAAATTATATTTATTTTTTTTATTTTTGAAAATGTACAAAAAGACACAATTAGATAAATGAATTCTTATCCATAATAATATAAAATATCCATGATATATAATAAGATTACAAGAATTCAATATTGTTATCTAAAAGAAGTATTTATATATGAATTAAAATGATATCAAAAATGCAATTTTTGGATTTCTAACTATCTAAAGATATATATGACAGCGAAATATTATTTTTCGAAGGTCTACTACAATCTTTGAAAACAAAATATTTTATTTCTGCTATTCAAGCAATTTCATCATTCTGTTAATTTAATTTTGTCTCAAAAAAGAAATCTAGATCTATGATTAGTATTTTATTTTAGAAGTATATATTCAATCCACTTATTTTTATAAATTAAATTTTAAGTTTATGTTTTGAAGGTTTAAAATTTATTAGATGTTTATTATGATCTATTAAGCTTCCATACTCTATTTATTGATTTTAATTATTTATATTAATAGAATGTGAGAATAATAATATTAAATATATAATAAGAAGAGTAAATCAATACTTTTAACTGTTGTTATATGCTTCGTATGTATTTCTTTAAAGCGCTAGTGAGTTATTCTCTGTTATTTGACATCTTGCTCGAAATATTAGAAAGTTATCTTCATCATCTTATTTAATTTTCATTAAATAAACATCTTCTCCCATTTCAAAGTTGTGATCATGATTAGCTGGCAGATGATCAGTTTCATCATTTACAAAATAAATATTATTAGCATTTTCTGCTTTTATTATATTTAAAAAGTTTTAGCACTCCTTTTCTTTACCTGTGCAATTATAAAATAATGTCTAATTTTAAAATGATTGAGAGGGAATTGAAAATGAATTAGATTCATCACTAAATAAGGAAGTTTGATTTCTTTATGAATATTTTGGAGCCAAAAAATCATACCTCTAATTTGATAATTATGATAATGAAATAGGTTTAGGGTTGTATTCGAAATCATTCGTCATTACTGACAATATACAAGTTATAGCTAAAAGAGAAATCAATCCATAATTCATCATCTTTGATTTTGTGATTATATTAGCTCTATATATTTATTCTCCTTCTTCAGATACAGTATTATCACTTTTATAATGTTATCTAATAATATTTAGATAATAATTTACTTCATTTCCTCTAAATATTCAATTCTTAATCTTAAGTGTTTATTTTCTTCTTGTAATAATTCAATTTACTCATCTTTTTTCTTTAATATTTCTGAAAACTTTTTATTTTCTTAAATTAGATTATCAAATATGATTTTTTTCTTATCTCTTGATAATTGAGCTGAATTTCTATTTCTTAATTTTCTTAATTCTTCTTTAGACAAAGTTTATACAACATCCGTCTTAATTTTTTATTTTTTTTCAATTCTTTTTTTAAGTATTCTTTATTTTCGTTCATCTTTTAATTTTTATTCTAAATTTTCTGTTGATTTACTAAGTTCTGGTGTTGGAAGATTTTCTAAAAAATTGGATTAAAAGAAAAGATCATCATAATCTAATGGAAGATTATAGTCTTCTTAATCAATAAAATTCATTAATATATTTGCTAAATATCCGAATAATAATTTAAAAAATAAAAGAAAAAATAATACATTATTAACATTAGTAATGACGTGGAAATAAGAGAATTAAATTTAAAAGTTCATATTAATATAGATTTCACACTGTAATGAGTTGAGTTGGATTTCCCATTTTTAGAGAGCATCTTAAATTATTACATAATACTCTTTCTCTAAAACTCACAATCAATTAATTTATTTATAACTTTATTAGGTCTTAAATTGTAAATATTGCATAGATTTTCTTTTTCAGGATTTGTCAGAGGACTTGTTATTAATTTATCAATTTTATATTTGGATTCTACAAATTGTTTTCGCTAAAATATTTATTTAATTCCTTCATAAGAACTATGTCTTGATGATAGTGATTAGATTTTAATTTCATGATTATGGAGTATCAATTATCGTTAACAAGGTCTAAAGTTAACTTCTAATTATTTCTAACAAGAGGATAAGATAGTATTCTTCCTATTTCAAAGTTATTGTAAATTACTTTCTAAGTTAAAGAGCAAGTCTTTCCATCTTTTTTCTTTCATGCTCTCTTATCTTATCTATCTGATGTTGTTTAACAAAAGTATTTGGATATAGAACATTGAGTCTCTTTAGTTTTAAACCATCCCCTTCATTGAAACTGTGTCGTCTAGCTTTGTTCATTTATTAAATTTAACTGAAACATATTAATTATGGGAACCTCACAATCATCAATGGTGTTGGGTTAACCACTCAAGTAAACCAAATTAGGAACTCATT